ATATACCAGCTTTCTGGGGAGGTAGTTTTCTAAGATGTGAATTGGGTGTGTTCCAATTATAACAAAATATAATTACCTTTATTTTGTGTATTGTCTCCAAGGGTCAGGGGTCAATGTGATGTTTTCCCAGACAGAAGTCATCATTTCCAGATTCTGTTTAAAAATGTTGGCTTTTCCCAGTTAAGTTTAACAGCAACCTTGCCATATGGTAAAGTTCATTTATATGGAGCAGACTATTTTTTTAACATATCCATCTGCTTCTTTTTTTAAAATTTATTTTTATTTATTTTTTTATTGAATAACCATTAGATAGTTACAAAGCTTTCATGTCTGAGTTTCAGTAATACAATGATTGAACACCCATTCCTCCACCAGTGCACATTTCCACTACCAATGTCCCCAGCATCCCCCTCCCAGCCCAATCTTCCCTCTTCCTCATTGGCAGACAATTTCCCCTATACTCTCTTTCTACTTTAGGGCATTATGGTTTGTGGAGAGAGACTAATTTTTATGACTTTATATGCTTGGCATCATCCCTGTGCATGAATATTTTAGAAAATTGCTTTAAAATATCTGAGTTGTGAAAAATCAAAATACCAGCCCAGGCTGATATCAGTAAATCACTGTTATTTTTTATCTTGTTTCCATGAGTGTTAAAGTTTCTTTATTTTAGTGAAGCTAGATTTTTTAATTAGTTAAAAACAATGATCTACATTTGAGTTTCAAGCATGCTAAAAGACTTTTTTTTTTGAGGGGTGGGGCAGTCATACCCGGCGATGCTCAGGGGTTACTCTTGTCTCTCCACTCAGGAATTACTCCTGGCGCTGCTCGGAGGACCATGTGGGATGCTGGGGTTTGAACCCAGATTGGTTGTGTGCAGGGCAAATGTGTCACCCGCTGACCCGCTGTACTGTCACTCCAGCCCATGTTAAAACTTTAACACCCATTGCCGCACCAATGTCAACTTCTCTCCCCCAGCGTTCCCATGCTTCCTCCCCAGCCCCCCCCCCCAACCCTGCCACCTGGCCAAGTACATCTCAGTTTGGGGTTGTAGCTTAGATCTCATTTTCAGTACTGTTGACAGTGAGCTTTATTTGGATATAAATCACTCTCCCATATTACTTGTGTAACCGCGGCCCTTGACTCCAGTTCTCACAGGACTTCCCTTTTTCATCTTTTTCCCTTCCACCCCCTTGATTTATTTCCTTCTCTGTCATTCTCCTCCTTGTACTTTAGGGTCAAGGCTTACATAGTCACCCCCATCTTGTTGCATCTTTTCCAGTTATTATGTATACTACAGATCAGTGAGATCGTCCTGGATTTGTCCTTGCTCTTTGGGCTGACAGAGGGCAACTTGACATCGCCAACCAGGCTGAAGTGAATTGCACAGATTTATTTCATCTTTCCCAAAAGAGTGCTCAATTTCCTTAAATCCATTCCCTTGATACTATATCCTTTCAGCTGTCTTCCTTATTCTGCATTCATGTCATTTTCTGTCACATCCTATTTCTATTTGGGACGACAGGTTGTTGTAAAGTATGCAAAAGTAGAAACAGAACCGAAAGTCCCTGCTGTGTGGATCATGCATTGGAATGGCAGAGACAGACGACAGTGAGATCGATGTAAGTATGCTGTGCTGCCCTCACGTCTAATCACCAGAAATAAATTATTTTGTATTAAAAGGTTCAATTGCTATGGTGTGGGCAGTATTGACCATGCATAGGTGCCTGAAGAATTTTGCTGTTGAGGAAAGGCCAAAGTCAGTACTAGAGTGTTCCCAAGGAATTAAAAATATATTTACAGCAATCTACAATATCCAAAAATATTTTTTAAATGATGCTACATAAAAATTAGTAAGGAAGGGGCTGGAGCAATAGCACAGAGGGCAGGGCATTTGCCTTGCACGCAGCTGACCCAGGTTTGATCTTCAGCATCCCATATGGTCCCTTGAGCACCGCCAGGGGTAATTCCTGAGTGCAGAGCTAGGAATTTTTGCATTACACCCTGAGCATCGACGGGTGTAATGAAAAAAAAAAAGGAAGAAGCTTGCCTGTTCCCTAATGGAGCAATATTACAATGTTATGGTCAATTATTTATGGCCTACAGTCAGGGAATAAAATGAGAGCGATAGCACAGCGGGTAGGGCGTTCGCCTTACAAGCGGCCAACATGGCCGACCCGAGTTCGATTCCTCCGCCCCTCTCGGAGAGCCCGGCAAGCTACCGAGAGTATTCGATATGCCAGACACAGTAACAACAAAGTCTCCAATGGAGACGTTACTGGGCCCGCTCGAGCAAATCGACGATCAACGGGAGGGCCTTTACCTTTACCTTTACCTTTTCTTTTACTTTCTGTCTTTGTTTGGGGGCTACACCCAGTGGTGCTGTGCTTACTTCTGGATCTGTGCTCAGATCACTCCTGGTGGTGCTCCAGGGACCTGGGTCTGTTGCTTGCAAGGCAAGGGCCATACTCCTGTATGGTCACTCCAGGCCCCATAATATACGCCTTCTACTTGACATAGAAAACACCAGCTCAGCAGAACTGTGTTATCTTTTGTGAAGTGTAGATTGGATCTGTTTACGTCTACATATTTTCTTTAGGATGTACAAAGCAATGGACATAAAAATATCACTGCTGTGGGCTAGAGCGATAGCACAGCGGGTAGGGCATTTGCCTTGCACGCAGCCAACATGGCCGATCCGGGTTCAATTCCCAGTATCCCATATGGTCCCCAAGCACCGCCAGGAGTATTTCCTGAGTGCATGAGCCAGGACAGTTCTACAGTGCATTAATTAATTATTATTGATTAACAGTAATCAATTATTACTCAACAAACAATTAATTATTTGTTGAGTGACATGGCTGACTATGGTCTTTTTCTGTATGGAGTATAAATTCTATCTTTCCTGGAGAGACTGTGAGGCCCAAAAGCAAGATCCTCAGAAGCCATGACAAGCTACAGCTAACTTTAAGTCTCAAACTAGGCCTCAGTTTCTGTTTCCCCAGAGCTAGACTGCAGTTTCTGGTAACCACCCAATTGAGTAATTCACCTAGATAAGAAACTGGGCAGTTGGATCTGAAGGGTCGCCGCACCCTTCTTTGGAAAAAACCCCAAACTGTTACTGGTACATGCTGTCTAACTGCTGACCACTGTTGTAATAGGACAATGCTAAAAATAGACCAGTATATAAACCACTTCTTGACTGTACCCTATATAAACTGCTTGTGAGTCGGAGTCGGGGTCCTTGTCAAGACTCCACTGTGTTGGATGAAATTTGGACCCTAGCTTGCACTAGCACTGGATCAGGCTAATAATAAAGTTCCCTGGAGCAATAGCACAGCGGTAGGGCTTTTGCTTTACCTGCAGCCAGCCCGGCTGAGCCGGGTTCAATTCCTTCGCCTCTCTCAAGAGCCCGGCAAGCTATCGAGAGTATCTCTCCTGCACGGCAAAGCCTGGCAAGCTAACTGTGACGTATTCAATATGCCAAACACAGTAACAAGTCTCAAAATGGAGATGTTACTGGGCCTGCTCGAGCAATTCGATGAACAACGGGAGGACAGAGTTTGTTTTGTTTGTTTGTTTGCTTTTGCATTATTATGTGTGGAACTGGGTCTCTCCGCAATTGGGGATCTGAAACTTGGGCACAACAAGACTAAAGAAATGACATTTTATAGAGGGTGGTTTCATGCAGATGTGGAATTTGAATAAATATATATATATATACTGGTGTAAACAATGAAAGTAGTTCTTAGACTTTCTAAAACTGTGGATCTTTTATTTGAAGGAAATAGATCAGGGGTTGTGGTAAATGAATAAAAATAAAAAACCTTATGCCACCTACGGCATTCACCTATATGTATGTCCATGCTTCTATTCTCTGTGTGTGATATGAAAAAGAGAAAACCTAACTCACTGATGTACCAAAAGTAGCACACATTTGTTGGGGTTTAACATGCATGCTTGTATTCTCTCATACAAGGGCTTAAATGGCTCCAGGATGAAATACAACAATCTTCACGCACTTTTCTCTTATGGTGATGGGAAGGTGCGTGGTAGTGGAATTGGTGTTTGAATATTATCTGTAATAAAATGCTGTTAACAACTTTACAAAATATATATATATATATATGAGAGAAGTTCTCATGCTATGGGTACCTGAGCTTGTATTCAGGGTCCAGAAGTCAGCAGGAGAAGGGAATAAGTAGCACTGTGTTTCTACCCTTATGCTCAAGATTAATAGGGTACAGGAGTGCCTTAGGATGGAGGTCTAAGGGTCATGAGGTTTTTGTGTAGCAGAGACACCACATCATTCATCCACCTCACACCTCCCATCATCTTCCATAGCCAACTTCCTTCCTCAGCCAACTTCCATCACCAGCTTCACCTGTTTTGCCTCGAATGTATTAAGCAGACAATTTGCCCAGGGCATTTGAACTGACTCTTCCTATCTTAAGACATGCACTAACATTTAATACACACTCTTCGTCCTTCTCTTTTTTCTTTTCCTCATCATTTTTGTCTGAGTGTTGGATATTTGAAGGTTTTGTCAAAATACCAAATAGACTCTTCACCATTTTTATATATTCCTTTACTTAATAACACAATCGCTCTCTACATATTTAATGATAGCATTTAATGATCTGTTTGGTTGTGTTCCAAAATTAACTCCTGGGTATTTTGTTCATCCAGCCTATTTGACTCACTGCCTAGAATTTTCCTAAAATGAGAACAGCCCTCAATTTATAATAATTTATTATAAACTTTTTCTATTAAGATTGCTAATCAATTTCTCCTAGAGAAAAAAGCTACTGAGAAAAATTTACATACTGGATATATCAAGATAGTTCTTATTTTTAGATATTTTTTGAACTCCCAGAACATATAAAACTTAGATGTTCATGCAAAAATAAATCATTGCCAATAAAATGTACGGATCACGTCATTTTATGTAGATATTAATTTATCATCTTGTTCTTTCTTAGCATAAGCAAGCATATCACATGAAAGCAGAAAATGATGCAAATATTTCAACATTTATTCTTCTGGGATTTTCAGAGGAACCAGAACTGCAGCCTCTCATATTTGGGCTTTTCCTCTCCATATACATGATCACTATCTTTGGGAACCTGCTTATTATCCTGGCCGTCATTTCAGACCCCCACCTCCACACGCCCATGTACTTCTTCCTGTCCAACCTGTCCTTTGTGGACATCTGCTTCATCTCCACCACCATTCCCCACATGCTGGTGAACCTACAAAGAGAGAATAAAGCCACAAGCTACGAAGGCTGCATTACTCAGATGTATTTTGTCAGTGTCTTTACAGTGTTAGATAATTTTCTCCTGACCGTGATGGCCTATGACCGCTTTGTGGCCATCTGCCACCCCCTGCACTACACGGTCATCATGAACCCCGGCCTCTGTGGACTGCTGGTTCTGGGATCTTGGTTCCTGAGTAGCCTGGCATGTTTGTTACAAAACTTGCTGGTGTTACGCTTGTCCTTCTGCACAGATTTGGAAATACCCAACTTTTTTTGTGAACTCAAACTGATAGTCCAGGTTGCCTGTTCAGACGCTTTTGTTAATAATGTGGTGATGTATTTTTCAGTTCTTCTGCTGGTTGGGGGGCCCCTGGCTGGGATCCTTTATTCTTACTCTAAGATAGTTTCCTCAGTAGGTAGAATTGCATCTGTTCAGGGGAAGTTGAAAGCCTTTTCTACTTGTGCATCTCACCTCTCAGTGGTCTCTTTATTCTACTGCTCGTGTCTTGTAGTGTTCCTTAGCCCTGCTACTACCCACAGCTCACAGTCCAGTTCAACAGCCTCTGCCATGTACACTGTGGTCGCCCCCATGCTGAACCCCTTCATCTACAGTCTGAGAAATAGAGACATAAAGAGGGCCCTGAAAGCATTCTTGTTGAAGGGAACTACAAAAGGGCACTTGTTCTAGCATGAAAAAATTGTCTAAATCCTCCCTGAAGTCAAAGTTAGTTGAAAAATTGTGATTATGCTTTATCCTTTGGAACATGCTCTTTCTATTTTGCCTTATTATTTAATCATTTTAATATTAGTTATTAAAATTGTGATTACATTTTAACCTTTGGAACCTCCTCTTTCTCTTTCTTGGATTTCTGTTTCTTGGACCCCTCAGCTCAACTCATTTTATAGTATACTCGTAAGCTTTCTACTTTTTGTGATTCTCTACAATTTTTCCCCACTTTTTTGATTAGCATTTCCAAATTCACTGACAACCATGAATCAGATGCATTTTCAAGCTCCCTTTCATTTTATTAACATGTTGCTACTTTTATAAGTATATTTGTTAAGGGATATGTAACATAGATATGCTCCATATTTTAAAAAATTTACTGTATAATAATCATAGTAGCTAGAGGGTTATTACGAAGGACAAAGCAATTACCTTGCACGCAGAAATATGTATGATTTCTGGTACCCAAATGGTCCTTGAATCTGCAATAAATGGTCCCTGAGTGCATAGCTAGGAATCAGCCTTGAGCAAAATCTGATGTGTCCCCCCAACCAATAATCATTATAAGCTGTATTACTTACTTGAATGGGAACAAACTATATAATACATGTAGGATTTACCTAAAATACAATTTTCATGTTAGTGTGTTTATGATGGTCTCTTGATTCTGTTATCATCAGTAGGATTTGTTCTCTTTCAGCAGTTTGTCCATGGTGCCACTCAGTCATGTGCAAAGCAATTATCACATACATACATCCATAGCCTAAGTGATATGACAAAGTACCATTTCATGCCCTCCACCCTCTGACTATGAAAACCACCTCTTGGTCAACTACTACAAGTCCTCAGTGGTGCTTTGCAGGTGCTAATGTCTGTGTGTTTGACATATGTGGTAAATACTAACAATTTTTTTAATTGGTAAAGGTAAAGGCCCTCCTGTTGTTCATCTATTTGCTCGAGCAGGCCCAGTAACGTCTCCATTGGAGATTTTGTTGTTACTTTGTCTGGCATATCGAATACGTCACGGGTGGCTTGCCAGGCTCTGCCGTGTGGGCGAGATACTCTCAGTAGCTTGCCCGGCTCTCCGAGAGGGGCAGAGGAATTGAACTTGGGTCGGCCATGTTGGCTGCGTGCAAGGCAAACGCCCTACCACTGTGCTATTATTTCATGTTGGAAACTCCCATTGCTGTCTCTATTGTTGTTTCTGTATTTAAAACCATCATCTTCTCCTATCACTTTTTATGGTAGCTACTTCTATTTCCATCTCAGTATCATTCATAAAAAGCATAATAAACGTTCATATTTTTGAATGTAATTATTAAAATTTTAATCTCTTACTTCCACTTGATTCTTGGATAACATGAGCTAGTAAAACTATCAACAGAAAAATATTGTGAGAAAAAAATATCATGTATGTGAATATTATGTACCTTCTGCTGTAAAAGTTGGTATGTGTCAAAATGTTTTGGTCATATATTTTCATTTCAAATAAAATTAACGACATAATAATGACCAATGAATCATTTTAATTTCATATCTTATGCAACAAGAAAACATAATACCATTCTGGAAGTGACAGAAATGAGAAGGATAAATGTTGAACATTGTTTTTTCTTTTATTCCAGTTATTTCGGTTAAAATTGTAATCTTAAAACAGCATCTGTGTTATCATTTATACTTGAAATGCAACAACACCGGCTCATATGCTGCTTGAGCCCATGTGGCCAAGCACATGTGTCACCCAAGCACATGTGTTACCTCATCTCCCCTCTTGAGATGTGCACTTTCATGCTTTCATGTCTAATGCTGGGATGTGTGTCGGGGCTCTCACTGCCCTTGGAGAAGCCCAAGTTCTCTCTTGAGCCCATTACTCTCCACTCTCTCCCACTTTCTCTCCCTCCTTCCCTTCAAAACCTTCAAGTAAAGACAATGTAATTTCAAAAAAAAGTACCAACACCACCCAAACACCAGAGGGTCAAGTAATCTCCCACCATTTCCCCCAAGATTTCTTCCCTTTCACTTACCCCTGACTTGCTCAAGACTTCCTCCTGGCTCTGTGCTCAGAGATCACTGGAGCCAGGATACCAGGGGTCTGTATCTGGTGCTGAAAATAAAGCCTGAAAGTAAATCACCATCATACAAGGGAAGCACTTGAACTACTATCATTATAGTCCATGCATACTCATTTTAACTAAAACAGATTTTTCTCAAGGAAAGGTAAGAAGTGATTTGAGAGACTGAAGTTCGCTTCTCTTGAACACATGACAGTGAAAGAAGTAGCACATTTGATTCCTATAGTTGCTGCAGGAGGTTCTCACAGACAATGCTCAGCTCACACACGGGTGGTCTTCTAGTCTTAAGTGCCCGGGCTTGGCTTCATGCAGAGACTGCAGAGCTTGTCCTTTGGACGTTCAGAGAAAAAATTCTTTCCTTTCTGTTTCTGGACTGTGTATCAGACACCTCCATCCCATAACTCAAAATTCTTCATCTCCACGCTCACAGGAGAATATTCCACATTTGCCACTGACCTGGAAGCTTTTGCTTCCCTCTTGGACAATTAGACACCAAGGTGAATTCTGGACAGCCATGGAAAATTTCTTATCTTAATGCTATTGATTCAAGACACCTGATGCCCTTCTGATCTATTGGATTTTTGCATTCTGAGGCTTTGGGAATCTGAATGTGAATATATTTTACAGGCCCTTGCTCTTCCTCCTGGAAAGACATCTTTGGTTTTTTAAATATTTTTTATTATTGAATCATTGTGAGACACAGTTACATGCTTTCATGTTTGAGCTTCAATCATACAATGATCAAACACCCGTCCCTCCACCAATGGTACATTAGCCACCACCAATGTCCCCAGTATAAACACTCCCCCCTTTCAAACCCTTCCTTTGCCTCCATGGCAGACAATTTCCTCCATACTCTCTACTTTTGGGTATTATTGTCTGAAATACAGATACTGAGAGGTTGTCATGTTTGGTCCTTTATCTACTTTCAGCATACATCTTCCATCCCTAATGATTCCTACAACCATCATTAACTTAGTGATCCCTTCTTTATTCCAGCTGCCTTCTCCCCCAGCTCATGAGACAGGCTTCCAACTCTGGGGCAATATTCCTGCCTCTTGTGTCTATTGTCCTTGTGTGTCCATCTTGTATTGTGTTAATTTATATTCCACAAATGAGTGCAGTCCTTCTATTTCTGGAAAGATGTATTTAGAGTGTATTATATATATATGGCTGTAGTGATAGCATTGCAGTAGGGTGTTTGCCTTGCACATAGCCAGCCCAAGCAGAGCCAGGTTTGATTCCTCCACCCCTCTCGGAGGCCCGGCAAGCTACCGAAAGTATCTTGCCCCCATGGCAAAGCCTGGATTCAATATGCCAAATACAGTAACAACAAGTCTCAAAATGGAGACGTTACTGGGCCCGCTCGAGCAAATCAATGAACAACAGGAGGACAGTGTTTGTTTTATTTGTTTGTATATTTGTATATTATGTCACTCCAGAATCCTTGTAAATAAGGAAGAACTGAGCATGTGTCTGGAGTGTGAGGGTACACTCTTTCTTCACGGGTGCTCATGAAGATTTATTTTGTATAGGTAAAGGTAAAGGCCCTCCCGTTGATCGTCGATTTGCTCGAGCGGGCCCAGTAAAGTCTCCATTGGAGACTTTGTTGTTACTGTGTCTGGCATATCGAATACTCTCGGTAGCTTGCCGGGCTCTCCGAGAGGGGCGGAGGAATCGAACTTGGGTCGGCCATGTTGGCCGCTTGTAAGGCGAACGCCCTACCCACTGTGCTATCGCTCCAGCACAGATAATAAATGCTGCTTACTTCTGCATTGTACCAAAGGTCATGAGATTGTTGCTTAATAAGTGGAACTTTGGGCAGATAATGAAACACCCCAAAGCTGTATAATTCTGCAATAAAGAGTTGATTTATGCATGGAATCTCAGGTGATGTTCTCAGGTTATCTAAGCTCAGGAGAAACTCAGCTTGCCTAAATGTTTTATAATTATTTACAATATTACATTACCAACTAGAGTATTCCACTTGTGATCTTGGTATGAAATTTAAAGTGTTCTGGAATAGGGGCTGGAACAATAGCACCGTGTGTAGGGCATTTGCCTTGTGTGTGGCCAACCCGGGTTCGATTTCCAGCATCCCATATGGTCCCCTGAGTACTGCCAGGGGTAGTTCCTGAGTGCAGAGCCAGGATCACCCCTGTGCATCTCTGGATTAGCACTGTCCTCCCATTGTTCATCGATTTGCTTGAGCGGGCCCAGTAATGTCTCCATTGTGAGACTTGTTGTTACTGTGTTTGGCATATCGAATTCATCACGGGTAGCTTGCCAGGCTTTGCCGTGCAGGTGAAATACTCTTGGTAGCTTGCCAGGCTCTCTGAGAGGGGCGGAAGAATCGAATTCAGCTTGGCTGGGCCAGCAGCTTGCAAGGCAAACGCCCTACCGCTGTGCTATTGCTCCAGCCCTACATAGCTGGATATGATCAAAAAAGGAAAAAAAGTATTCTGGAATAGATTAATGAAATACAGAATGATCCTAAAAACAGTTCAGCTCTTCTTGGCTGTGGAGGTAAATAGTGATTTTTCAGAGATGAAGGGTGGTGTTTCCACCCTAAGTCAGTGCTTGGCGGTGACGAAGCACCTGATCTAGTCAGTGTGAGGCCCACAAGCAGGCTCCTCAGCAACCATGACAGCCTATAGCTAACATTAAGTCTCAGCTAGGCCTCAGTTTCCGTTTCCTCAAAGTAGGACTGGCTAGGACCCTGTTAGGGCTAGGAAGACTAACCTGGCCTGAGGACTGCGGAATGTATAATGAGATGTTTATATTTCTTACTGTGCTCACACAGAATGACATTGCTAGAAATATTAGAAGTATATTTACTACAACTATTTAAGTAGATTACTAACTGAGGAAAGAACCCCCAAATGTTACTTGTGCCTGCTGTCCAAGTGCTGACCACTGGTATAATAGGGCGATGTTAAAAATAGATCAGTATATAAACCGCTTCTTGACTAGACCCTATATAAACTGCTTGTGATTTGGAGTCGGGGTCCTTGTCAAGACTCTACTGTGTTGGATGAGACTTGGACCCTAGCTCGAGCTAGCAATAAAGTTCCTTTGCTTTTGCATTATCGTGTGTGGACTTGGTCTCTCTGCGATTGGGTTTCCAAAACTCAGCACAACAGCCAGGTATGGGGGAGGGGCATATGGAGAAAACACAAATTCAGGAGGGAAGGAGATGACAATTGCTTAGATATTTGGCAGGGATCCAAGTTAAAATTGGAAGGGATTCAAGAAGTTCAAGTCAAAAACGGGTTTTTTTTTTTAAGACTCATTTTATCTAATGCCTTAGGAAAAGTGTATCATTGGGGAAAATTATATCTGTCCACTAGGGATTCTGCAGGGGTTGTTATGGGAGACTGGAGGGACAGGAAGTAAACGCCCCTAACGAGCAGACAGTGGGAATGTAAATATTACCCATCTCTTGTGTCTTTGCATTTGTGCTACTGGGCTGAAAGGGACAGTGTTAGTGTTTGTATGTCTTTTCATTCTTCGGTGTGACATGAGTCTTTTTGCCTTCCTAATGTCTCGTCTGAAGAACTGACTTTTCTTCTCCATCATCAACCACATGACGAGTAATTCACCCTGCACCTGAAGGCCTTCTCTCAGAGCACTCATGCAGGTGAGTTCAAACACCAACAGGTGTCCTCACATAGAGTGAAAGAATGGAAGTCAAGACCCTTAGAAGTGATCTATGGGGACCTGAAGGATACAGTTGGTAGGGCGTTTTCCTTGCATGCGGCCGACACGGGTTCAACTGCCAACATCCCATATGGTCTCCCAAGCACCACCAGGACTAATTCCTGAGTGCAAAGCCAGGAGTAACCCCTGTGAATTGCCGGTGTGACCCAAAAAGGCAAGAAAAGTGACCTATGTTCACTAGAGTTCTTTCTCCTTGGTTCTGAAAAAGGGCAATGTTCTCTTTGTTTGCTTCTATAATGAATAAATGTATGATCTCAGTGGCTTCATAATGTTTTAGTGTGAATTCCCTATTAAATTTTTGATTGAGGGGGATTTGTCGAACCGGGCCAGTTATGTGCGAGAAAACACTTTACCTGCCATACTGTTGCTCCAGTTTCAGATTTGGTTTTTTTCAATTCATTTTTTATTGAGTCACTGCAAGATACACAGTTACAAAGCTGTTCATGATCAGGTCTCAGTCATACAATGATCCAACACCCATCCCTCCCTCCACCAGTGTCCACTTCCCATGACCGATGACCTCAGTTCCCCTCCTACAATCCCCTTTCTACTCTTCTTCTTCTTCTTCTTCTTCTTCTTCTTCTTCTTCTTCTTCTTCTTCTTCTTCTTCTTCTTCTTCTTCTTCTTCTTCTTCTTTTTTCTCTCTCTTCTGTCTTTTCCTCTGTCCTCTTGGTTATCATGTTTTTTCCTTTACCTACTTTCCACATATATTTCTTAACCAGAGTAATCATTTACAACCATCTTTACCTTAGTGATCCCTACTCTATTCCAGCTGTATTTTCTCCAAGCACTTGAAACAGAATTCTAGCCATGGGCCAATCCCCTTGGCCCTTGTTTCTACTGTTCTTGGGTATTAGTCTCATATTATGTTTATTTCCATCCCACAAATGAGTGCAATCATTCTATGACTGTCCCTCTCCTTTTGACTCATTTCACTGCTAAGTCCTCTCCAAGTCCATTTTTACACGGATTTCATGACTTCATTCTTCCTAATAGCTATGTAGTATTCTATTGTGTAGATGTACCATAGTTTCTTTGCTTTGCTTTTTTTTCTTTCTTTTTTTTTTTGAGTACGCTATAGATCTGCCAATTACTTTTTTTTTTTACAGACTTACAAACTTGCATGATTACGTTTTGGTTATACAATGTTTGAGTACCCATCTCTCCACCTGTGCCCATTCTCCGTCACCAAGTACCAGAGTTTCTTTAACCAGCCATCTTTTCTCGGGCACATGGGTTGTTTCCAGGTTCTGGTTGTTCTTAATAGTGCTGCAATCCATGTAGATGCACAGACTTTTTAAATTCTCAATCATTACAGTGCAATTATAATAATGTTTGGAAAATGCTTTGAAACGTTAAATTTAAAGTGCAAAAGTTATATTGTTAACCAGGTGGTATGAGTGATGTCCACAGACATTTCTGGATGTCCCAGCAGAGAGGGGTGGATGTTATCCAGCATGTTCTCAAATACCTCCCATGAAGCAGGATTCTATTCTCATGGAAAGGATTTGGTTCAAGTCTCAGTAGTAGTTTTAGACCTTTAATCCCCAGTACAAAAGAAACCATCTTTGAAACATTTCTGCTGCTTCTTGTGTTTCTTTTATTAAAACCTGGAAAAATCTATTGCCTCCTCTCCCCATATCCTTTCCCATATACTTCTCATATACTTAGACAGTTTCATTTGTGGAGAAGGAGAAATATTCTTGGGTTATGGGTCCATGCCAGAACACAGCAGGAGAAGAACAGAGGATGGATGATGGGTGGTTTCTATTCACAGGACACCTTTGGTATAGGATTAATACAGTATAAGAGGGGTATCACTGTCATCATCACTGTCATCCCATTGTTCATCAATTTGCTCGAGCAGGCACCCGTAATGTCCCATTTCATCCTAGCCCTAAGGTTTTAGCAGCCTCTCCTTACTCGTCCTTCCAAACGGTGCTGCATTGAAAGTTCTTTCAGGGTCAGGGGAATAAGACCCATCATTGTTACTATTTTTGGCATATCAAATACACCACAAGAAGCTTGCCAGGCTCCGCCCTGCGGGCAGGATACTCTTAGTAGCTTGCTGGGTTCTCCAAGAGAGAGAACTAGACTATAAGAGGTCCGCATCCGGGAACTTCATTTCATGGTCTCTGGATCTTGGCCATTGATGGGATTACTTGGCACCAGGTACAATTTGTGGTTGCGACTGCCTAGCTACTGGAAAATGGGAGATCTGGGTGGAGAAGGCCCAGTCCCGATCCAAGCAGGCTTGGAGATCTCAGCCCCAGGTCCCGCATACCTGGGTTCCTCTGCCAGTTCCTTCATGCGTGATGCTCATCCTAGAGTGTGGAGAGTGGCCTTGACCATGGCTGTGGCTGGGTTCTGGAGGTCTACGTCTGATGGGTATAGGATGGAGAAACAGGTTTAGGGACTGTGACATTTCTGAGTAGCAGAAGGATCATATTCCTCAGCAACACTTATGATCCCATCTTCTGTATTTCCCACTTTCTCAGTTCCATCCATCACCTCCACTGGTCCTTATTTGTACACCTGAAATAAGCAACTTCCCTAGGGTGTTTGCACTGATTATTCCAATTGCCAGCCTTACAATTCATAATCTCTCTTCTTCTCTATTTAATCTTAGGCTAAGTGTTATCTGAGTTGCCAGATGAATAGTGCAGAAGTAAGGCTCTTGCCTTGCATGCAGTCAGCATGGGTTCAATCCCTGACATCCTATAGGGTCCCTTGAGCACCACCAGGAGTATGTCTAAGTGCAGAGCGAGGAGTAACCCCTGAGCATTGCTGGTTGTGGGCAATACAAAACCAAATAGTAAAAATAAATGTTATTTGATAGAACATTTCAATGCTTTCCTATTTTCATGCCAAGAATTAATCTCAGATGTTTTAACACTTAATTGTCTGCTTGTGTCTTGTGCTTCTTTTTGTTTGTTTGTTTTGGGGTCACAACCAGCGATGCTCAGGGGTTAATCCTGGCTCTACACTCAGGAGTTACTCCTGGTGGTGCTTGGCGGACCATATGGGATGCCAGGGATTGAACCCAGGTAGGCCGCGTGCAAGGCAAATGCCCTACCTGCTGTACTATCACTCTGACCCCTGTCTTGTGCTTCTTAATGGAGTGATAGTGACTTTGTTCCTCCAAGATTGCTTAGCAATATCCATAAGAGGGGACAGAATTTAATTCATATTCATTCAAATTAATAAAAAAATTTGTTAAAATGGCTAACATATTGCTGCATAGGAAAAAAAATCTATGAAAAAATATTTATATTAACTATAGTATGATACCCAGAGACTATAAAATTCAGCTCCCAGAAGCAAATGCAGCCGCATGACATCTTATTATCTAGTTCTTATTCTGGAGAACCTGACAGGCTACCAAAAGTGTCCTGCCCATATGGCAGAATCTGGCAAACTCCTTGTGGGGTTTTCAAGATGTCAAAAACTAGTAACAATGATGGGTCTCATTCTCCTGACCCTGAAAGAGCCTCAGATGTGGCACTTTCTAAAATCTCAGGGCTAGGAGGAAGGAGACGTTACTGGTGCCTGCTCGAGGAACTCGATGAACAACAGGATGACAGTGATACAGTGATAGTATGATACATATTACAAAAGAATTTTTAATAGGCATACAGAATATCTAAAGGTTATTTGTGCCTGAAAATAAATTATTTCCAATAAATTTATGAGTCATGCAACTTTAGATGAATAACATTTTTCCATTTTATTTTTTTTAGCATAACCAACCCCATTCTATAAAACCAGAAAATGATGCAAATATTTCGTCATTTATTCTTCTGGGATTTTCAGAGGTACCAAAATTACAGGTCCTCATCTTTGGGCTGTTCCTTTCCATGTATCTGATCACTGTCCTTGGGAACCTGCTCATCATCCTGGCCATCAGCTCAGACCCCCACCTCCACACACCCATGTACTTCTTCCTGTGCAACCTGTCCTTTGTGGACATCTGCTTCACCTCCACCACTGTCCCCCACATGCTGGTGAGTATACAAAGAGAGAATAGAGCCATCAGCTATGAAGACTGCGTCACTCAGATGTTTTTTGCCTGTGTCTTTACAGCATTAGATGATTTTCTCCTGACTGTGATGGCCTATGATCGCTTTGTGGCCATTTGCCACCCACTCCACTATACAGTTATCATGAACCCTCGGGTTTGTGGGCTGCTGGCTCTGGGATCCTGGATCCTGGGTAGCCTGGCATGTTTGTTACAAAATACATTATTGTTGCGATTGTCTTTCTGCATGGATGTGGAAATTCCCAACTTTTTCTGTGAACTCAAAATGATGGTGCAGCTTGCATGTTCAGACACCTTTGTTAATAATCTGGCGATGTATTTTTCAGCCGTTCTGCTGGCTGCTGCTCCCATGGCTGGCATCATTTACTCTTATTCTAAGATCATTTCTTCCATATGTAGAATTTCATCGGCTCAGGGAAAGTTGAAAGCCTTTTCCACCTGCGCATCTCACCTCTCGGTGGTCTCTTTGTTTTATTGCTCCTGTCTTGGAGTGTATTTTAGCTCTTCTGCCACCCACAGCTCATTGTCCAGTTCAACAGCCTCCGCCATGTACACGGTGGCTGCCCCCATGCTGAACCCCTTCATCTACAGTCTGAGAAACAGAGACATAAAGAGGGCCCTGAAAGCGTTCTTGTTGAAGAGATAGTTGTCTGCAGCAGCATGAAGAAAAGTCTGTCGTTGCTGAGGTCAAACTGTGAGAGAAGTAATTGTATTTATTGTTAATCCTTTATATTTAGTTCCTCTTTCTCTTCTTGTAGTTTGAATTTTAGTATATTTTACCTCAGCACTATTGATTTATTGTGGGTCTTCCAGTATACGTTCAACAAAAGGGGGGTGGAGGTCCATGTTTTTCCTCCCTTTGGTTGAACAACATTTCCGGATTTATTACCAGCAATGATATTATGTATTTACAAATCTTTTTATTTATAAGACAATTTGGCTGTTTTAGAAAAAATTATAAAAAACTTATCATAACAAGTGTTTTTCACTGTTTACTAAAAAATCATCACAAGTAGGGCTACTCCAATGGTGAACAGACTATAGTGATGGTTATATTGATTGATATAATTTAAAAAGGAAAAATATTTGATGACTTTTACTTTTAGAGTGAAATTTCTAAGCATGTTTCATCTTTGCCCTAATGTGGAATTTTTCATGCTAATAGTTTACTAACCACTAACCTTAGTAGGATTTGTTTCCTTTCAGTAGATTGTCCATGGTTATATTCTCAGTCATTTGTAAATTGATTATCACGTGCCTGTCTTCAAGAGATATCTTAACTGCTCTAGTGAATATTTACCTAATATACCTGCAACATGATAAAGCTCCATTTCATGCTCTCCATTCTGTGACTATGTGAAAATATCCCTTGTTCAATTAGTACAGATTCTCTCTGACATTTAAAGAATTAGTGTCCATATAAAATTTTGCCATGTGAGATAAAGATTTACTTGACATTTGTAATTTTTATTGGATAAACTTACTTTCTGTTGGAAGCTTCCATTGCTGTCTCTTTGATTCTTTCTGTTACTCAAATCCATCATCATCTATCCACAATTTCTGGTGCCCATTCAAAACTCCATTTGTACAGCATTCAAGAAAATTGGTAAACGTTCATTTATTTTTATTGTGCTGGTTAGTGATGCCATCTTTCTTGTCTACATTTCATTATTGTGTCAAGTTATTTGGAACGTTAAGCAAATATCAAGGTTTAAGAAAGAAAAAAGGGGCCTTGAGAGAGAGCACAGTGGGTAGGGCGTTTGCCTTGCAAGTATCTGACCTGGGTTCAATTCCCAGCATCCCATATGGTCCCCTGAGCACCATCAGCAGTAATTCCTGAGTGCAGAGCCAGGAGTAACCCCTGAGCATTGCTGGGTGTGACCCAAACAAAACAACAAACACTGTCCTCCCGTTGTTCATCAATTTTTCTCGAGCAGGCCCAGTAACATCTCCATCGTGAGACTTTGTTGTTACTGTGTTTGCCATATCTAATATGAATATGTCACGGATTGCTTGCCAGTCTCTGCTGTGCGGGCGAGATTCTCTCGGTAGCTTGCCGGGCTCTCTGAGAGGGGCGGAGGAATCGAACTCAGGTTGGCCATGTTGGCTGCGTGCAAGGCAAACGCCCTACTGCTGTGCTATCGCTCTACCCCCCGAAAAGCAAAAAAATTTTTAAAAATTTTAAAAAAAGAAAGAGAGAAAACATACATGCAGCTATTATTTTTGAGTCCAGTATAAAGGTGGGTCTAAGTAAACATGTGTTGAACATATTTTTTCATTTCAAGTAAAATTGCACACTTGTTGTACTTTAGAATATGCCAATTTAAAGATCATATTAAAATTATTAAAGCACTATGGTTTGAAAAAGTTATTTCAAAAGTTATTCATAGATGAGTTTTAGACATACAATGTTCCAGCACTGATCTTACCACAAGTGTCAGCTTCCTTTCACTAATGTTCCCAGGTTCTCTCCCTTTTGACCCCTCCACCCTATCCTCTTGACAGACACTTGTAAAGTTTATTAAAGCTTGGATCTCATGATCTCAGGGCTGTTGACTCTGTAGTTTGGATATTTGTAAATATTCTGTTGTATATTGAAAGCAAACAAGCAAAAATATTTAGTGGTGTTAGATGTGGAATGATGGATGTTTCAATTAACATAAAACCAACATGGGAATGTAACTCCAAAGATTTAAAGAGTACACATGCTTTAAATGATAAATGACTTGTCCTAACTTAATGCCTCCATGGGGTTAAAATTTGCATCACATTGACATTTATGCAAGGAGATTATGAGATAAGAAGACTGACTTTATTGAAACATATTTTATTTATTTTTTTATTTTTTTTCCTTTTTTTATTAGTGAAAAACCATGAGGTACAGTTATAGGCTTACAAATTTTGTGCTTGGGTTTCAGTTATACAATGATCAAGTGCCCATCCCTCCACCAGTGCCCGTCATCCATCCCCATGGGTCCCAGCACCCCCCCCACTCTCATCCCCCCCCCTCCCATCCTGCCTCTGTGGCAGGGTATTCCCCCTTGTTCTCTCTCTCTTCTTTTGGGTACTGTGTTTTGCAAGAGAGGCTTTGAGTGGCAATCATGTTTGGTCTATTGACTACTTTTAGCATGCTTCTCCCACCCTGGGAGGGTCCTCACAACACCCTTCATTTGGTGCTCTCTTCTCTATCTGAGCTTCTTTCCACCTAGAACGTATGGCTGGCCTTCCATTCATGGAGCAAAATTCCTGGTACTAATCTCAGCCATTCCTGGGTGTTACTCTCCCTTTTTGTTGCTTTATGTTCCCCAGATGCAGATCAAAACCACAATGAGATATCATTTCACACCACAGATACTGGCCCACATCCACAAGAACAAAAGCAACTGGTGCTGGCGCGGATGTGGCGAGAAAGGGACCCTCCTTCACTGCTGGTGGGAATGCCGGCTGGTCCAACCCTTTTGGAAAACAGTATGGACGACTCTCAAAAAATTAGAATTTGATCTGCCATTTGACCCAGCTATAGCACTCCTGGGAATATATCCCAGAGAGGCAAAAAGGTAGAGTCGAAGTGACATCTGCAATTGTTTGTTCATTGCAGCACTCTTTACAATAGCCAGAATCTGGAAAAAACCTGAGTGCCCAAGAACAGATGACTGGTTAAAGAAACTTTGGTACATTTACACAATGGAGTACTATGTAGCTGTTAGAAAAGATGAAGTTATGAAATTTACATACAAGTGGTACTACATGGAAAGTATCATGTTAAGCGAAATGAGTCAGAAAGAGCGGGATAGACACAGAAACATATTTTAAATGCCTCCTCAGTTAAGGTGAAATTTTAATATAAAATGCTTCTACCCAGCAAAAACAAATGAAGAATTTTTATCTATTTTAATAACATACTATATCAGATTAAGACACTTGTTGAATTTCTCATATTCACATAGAAATGACCACTCTTGTTAAAAACAAAATCATTTACCCCTATTAGGGTTATTGAGTCTGTCTCTATCTCGATGTGCTGTATTAGTTTGGTCAGACTAATAATAATAATAATAATAATAATAATAATAAAGACATAAGCAGTGGAATACATTCCAGGAAAATAGGTATTCTTAGGTTCCATCTTGCCATCATTTACAATGTTTATAGTTTCTGAAGGCAACAACAGCAAAACGACCACATTTTCCATTTCATTATTTTAAACTACTGAAAATAATGGCATACCATGAAAATTCACCTTATACAAAAAGGGCTATCATCTTAGAATATCACAGGAACTCCACAAACTTAACATCAAGTAGACAGTCCCATAAAGCTGGAAAGTAAGATAAGTTCAAAACAGAAGAGATGTAGATGGTCAGCATACAGATAAAAAATTTGATTGGGGAAATGCTAATCACAATGAAAATGAGATATTTCCTCACAGCAGGGAGAGTGACCTGTGTCCAATGTCCAGAAACAATGGCAAGAAATATATTATAGGGATGAGGGTTCATGACTTCTATGTGGCTGACCCTAGTGTACACAGTGTCTTTCTGGGTTTAACTCTCAAGGCCCTTGAGCACCAATTGGTATGACTCTGGAGGAGCTCAGGAACCATCAGATAGCCCTGGGTAATCTCTAGTACCACACCCTTGGGTCCATGCATTTCCCTCCCCAGGGAGTTAGCAGAGAATATGAAAGGTACCTTCATATTTCCTGAGCAGCTTTTGGATAGCACCTTCTCCCCAAGATTTTAAAAATAACAAGAAGTACTGGTCAATTTGTGGAGCGTAAGAAATGTTGATTTACTCTTTAACGGAATGTCAATTCGTTCAGACTCTCTGGAAAACAGAATAAAAAGATCTGAAAGAGTTATCTAGCATCTTCCTGTGGCAGGCAGGATGAGTGGTGTTGGGAAATTTTGAAATAATGGTGGTGGGAAGGTGTAATGGTGGTGGGATTAGTGCTTAAATATTGAATGTAACCAATTAATATTAATCTTATGAAAATAAAATTTAAAAATTAAAAAAAATCTGAAAGAGTTAAGAGCAGAACTAACATGAGTCAAAAATTTCACACACATTGGTATTTATCCAAAGAATTCAAAATTACTTGTTGGAAGAAATTTTTGCCTACCTATGATCAGTGGAGTGTTATCTACAGTCCAATATTTGGAAATATCTCAAGTACACCCTGGTAGATGAATATATAAACAAAGTATGGTCTATATACATAATGGAAAGCTACTCTACTATACAGAAAGATTAAACTACAACATTTAACTCATGATATTGGTATACAATTTAAGTGTTCAAGAGGTCTCATGAATCCCATATTTATTCTAGAAACACCCAAGCTCACCCCTTCTTATGGAGAAGAAAATAAATTTTCCCAGTGATCCAAGGAATGAAGGTCTCACCCCAAATCAGTTCTCAGAAGATATGAGGGACTTGATCCAGGCAGGTTCAACTGTGGTAGACACAGCTGAGAAATACCCACATCCAGTATAATAATGTGCTAATCGGCTTGGAGATTTGGGAGGGATATGGAGGTTCAAGGTGAAAGGTTATAAAAAAAACTGAATGCTTCCAGCTTTGAATGCCTTGGGAAAGAGAATCATTAAAGAAAATTTCATGCAATCCAGAAGTGGTTTTGCACAGGGGAATTCTGAGCTGAGAGACCAAAGGTATAATAAGAGAATCAAGTCCTAATGAGCAGATAGAGGGAGCTGCAACTTCTTCTGCATCTTCTGTGTCTTTGCAGTGCACACCTGGGCATAAAGGGATGCCTTTGCTAGTTTCCTGTGTCTCATCATTTCTCAATCTGTCTGGGGGATGATGCTCCATTGCTTCCCATTGTCTTGTCTGACGATAGGCTTCCAGCCTCCATCACCAACCATCTAATGAAGAATTTAGTTTTCCACTTGGACACCTCCATCTTTGAGTCCTCACTCAGGTAAATTCAAAACATCGGCCAGCTCTGAATTGAGTCTGAAGACGAGAACACTGACCTGTCAACTGAGAGATAATTCAATGTCACTCAGGGGTTGGAGACAGTTGTACTGGTTTGCTTGCTTAATGAATGAAGGCATTTATTTGAGGTGCTGTTTTATATTAGGCATGGCATTACTGCTTCACTATTTTTTTAAATTTTCTTCAAAGTTTATTTTATTTTTTTTAATTTTTATTAGTGAAACACCATGAGGTACCGTTGTAGTTTTACAAATTGCTGTGCTTGTGTTTCAGTTATACAATGATCAATTATCCATCCCTCCACTAGTGCCTATTCTCCACCACCACTAATCCAAGTATTCCTCCCACCCCCCATCCCCCCATCCAATCCTGCCTCTGTGGCAGGGCACTCTCTTTTGTTCTCTCTCTCCTTTTGGGTGCTGTGGTTTGCAAAAGAGGAATTGAGTGGCAATCAAATTCGGTCTATAGTCTACTTTCAGCACGCATCTCCCATCCTGGGCGGATCTTCCCAACACCCTTTATTTGGTGCTCCCTTCTCTATCTGACTGCTTCACTATTGAGGCAACCTTTATATTCCTAATTACTAAATTCCTAAACATATTTATTCTAGAAAAAATGTGTTGAGATGGGAAAATTTATAGTGCTTCTAAGTACTAGTGATTTTGTCCATCAGGATTATGAATCATGTCCACAGACACTACTGGATATCACAGTAGAGAGGGTTAGGTGGTAGTCAGGACACTTGGAGATTGGAGATTGCATGGGAGAGACCCCATTGCAAAGAAGGATATGAATCAAATGTCAGTCTTGCCAGGTGAACAACCCCCAATGTCAAAATAGAAGCTTATATCTATCTATCTATCTATCTATCTATCTATCTATCTATCTATCTATCTCTGTATTTGTGTGTATGCATGTATGTAGGTGTACATATGTATATATAGACATATATAGACACATATACAAAAGTTCATGTATATACACATATATGCACACATACTTAGTCTCTCCATCCATTTTTATCTTCCCCTTCTCTGCCTATTGTAGTGTATGCTGAGTTATGGGATGCATATGACCAACCCAATCTGAATATACATATACATGTAGTTATGGGATCTTTTATAAAATTCTGTTCCCCCTAGATATGAACTCTAATTTTCTATATGATAAACTTTCAAAGACATTAATGACTAATATCACATATTTTAAGGCAAATGTTTATAAGATATAAAGGTTTTCTATGCATTAGAAGATTATAATTAATGAGTCATGCTATGTTATATTGTGAGTCATACTATGTCATATCCTTCAGGTTGCCAATCTAATTATCAATCTATACTGATATCATTCAATCATTATTAACTTTTATCTTGCTTCAGTTTCTATTTGTCTCTCTGTGTTTGCTTCAGGAAGATGCTCTGAACTCACCTTGATCTGTTTTCATTACCCTGCATTCATTTTTGTTTCATTTTTGCCAAATGCTAAGATACATTCTTATGAACACATCTGTTCACATCATTGTGAAGAACACCAGCATGAGCTAAGAAATGGGGGTTCTTGCTGCCTGGTTCACACATTAAGATCACAGAGGCAGAGGACAGAGATCAATGTAAGTATGAGGGCTGCCCCCAGATGTGACCACATGAAGAAAGTCATATTATTCAACAGTGAGCAGATTACAGTGTGGCAGGATAGAAGGTGTGTGGTCTATGAAGGAATTTTGTCTGTTGGATAAAAATCCAGCACCAACATTAGAGTTTTCCCAAGAAATTGCCAAAACAAAAAGACCGCAAACCCCAAATCTGGTAATAACAAAAAAATAACTGACAGGGACTAAGAAGGAAGAATGGGTTTGCCCCACCTCTGAAGGGAAACACATAGCAGCATTAGCATTCTAATAGTGTACTAGCATTCCAGTTCATCATGGAATAGATGCAGAGTAAATGTCTTCTCCATTATGGAAAAAAAAAAGCCAGGTTCATGATACTGTATGCATGGTCTTTTGTGAAGTCTAGATTTATATCTTATTTACTCTTTAGAGCACAACATGTATTTTGTTTGAAAAATAGTCCTTTATCTTTCCAGTCCTTTATCTTTGGGAATGCTTATTTCTTATTTTTGTTGTTTGTCACGTGACTGTAACCATGGTTAAAACTCATCCAAAAGTAGTAAAGATCCGAGACAGAGGCCAGAGTGATAGTACACTGGGTAGGGCATTTGCCTTGCACGCAGATGACCTGGGTTTGATCCCCAGCATCCCATAAGATCCCCCAAGCACTGCCAGGAGGACAGAAGTAATCCCTGAGCTGAGTTACTGAGTTACTAGTGAGCATCACTAGTTTTGACCCAAAAATCAAAAAACAAAAACAAAAACAAAAAACAACAAGGTAGCTAAGATATTAAAGAATATCTGAGTTTCCCTGATATTATTTACTTAGTCTCTCCATGCATTTTCATCTTCCCATTCTCTGCCTATTGTAGTGCATCCTGAGTTACTGGGATGCATATGACCATCCCAATCTGAATTCCAAAGTTTATAGACCCAAGGAGGTTTGACAGGTGAATTTCATACAGGGTGGTTTCTCTCGGGTAGAATTTAAATATTTAAGTAACTGAATATTTAAATTTTATATGTTAATGTTTAAATATCTAAATCTTTAGAAATTAAATAACTAAACAGGTACACTGGTGCAAAACAACAAAAAGTAATTCTTAGACTGTGAAAATGATTCGAGTGGATGGGAAGGGCCATGTGGGACTGGTAACTAAATAAATGTTTGAAAACCCATGAGACACTTGAGAGGTTCTATGTCCCAGTGTTGTCTGTGTAGGTGTTGTGTCTGTGTATTTATTGCATCTGTGTATGTGTCCTGTGTAGGGATAGAAGGCCTCTGGGTAGGTGTCCTTGACTCTGTATGGTCCAAGGGGAATCTCCTGACATGGAATTCATCAGGATAAGGCAGTAAAGGGGATCTGTTTCTATTCAGACATCAGTTATGCAGCAAGACTAAGACAATATAGGAGGGACATAGGATAGAGGAGGTTGTCTTTGTGCTTTGAAGTGTCAGAATAGCAGACATTTCATGCCTCTGTATCTGACACCATCTCCAGTGCTTTTTCCAGTCAACTTGCAATGCTAATTATTGCAATATTCTGACTTAAACGAGCATCTTCCCCAGGGCATTCCCACTGGACTATTCCTTTGGCAGACATACACTTCCCCACATAATCCCTCATCTCTCTCTATCTCTCTCTCTTTCTCTCTTTTTCTCTCTCTCTGATCCTGTCTTTTTTCTAAATGTTACCTGGGCTGCAGCGATAGCACAGTGGGTAGGGCATTTGCCTTGCATGTGTCCGACCTGAGTTCAATTCCTCTGCCCCTCTCTGAGAGCCCGGCAAGCTACCAAGAGTATCTCACCCACACGACAAAGCCTGGCAAGCTACCGGTGAATGTATTTGATATGCCAAACACAGTAATAACAAGTCTCACAATGGAGACATTACTGGGCCTGCTCAGGCAAATCGATGAATAACAGAAGGACAGTGTTACAGTGCTACCTGAGTTAAGGTTTATCTGCACACACCTGCCTCCCACTTGAACGAGATTTTCACCATTATCTTTTATCCTTGTTTTTTTAAATATATATGTATGTATATATATGTATGTATGTATATATATATATATATATATATACCAACTCTCACCCTCAAAGATATTATAACACTTTTTTTATCTTGGTGTCCTTTCTGTTACTGAAATTAAAGGATTACCCAGCACCCTAGACTCACTTAAAAATAATCAATTTATATTCATCAAGTACACAAAGCAGTCTCCATTATAATGTAGGATTCGTGGCACTTCGTTTTAAAAATAAAGGCAAACACTTCCATATTACAGATGCTATGATTCATTTCATCAAAGAGAGAATCCAGCTGCTGGAGAGATAGTGCAGGGGGTGAGGCCCTTATCCTACATCTGTTGGACCCAGATTCTGTTCTGCACTATATATGGACCCACAAACACTGTCAAAGGTATTCTTGAGCACTGAGCCAGGAATATCCCCCTGAACATGGTTTGGTCTAAGTTCCCAAAACTAACCCTCACACAAAATACTAATGTCTTGTATTCAATACTTATCATTGCATTTCAAATAAGTGAATAATGTAGCCTTTTATGATTTATGATGATATTATTTCTTTCTTTCTTAGAGTAATATGAAACCAGAAAATGATTCACAAATTTCAGAATTTATTCTTTTGGGATTTTCAGAGGAACCCAAACTACAGTTCATCATATTTGTTATTTTTATCTCCATGTACCTGGTGACCGTCTTTGGGAATCTGCTCATCATCCTGGCTGTCATCTCAGACTCCCACCTCCATACGCCCATGTACTTCTTTATCTCCAACCTGTCCTTTGTGGACATCTGCTTCACCTCCACCACTGTCCCCAAGATGCTGGTGAATATACAGACTCAGAGAAAGTCCATCACCTATGAAGACTGCATCACACAGATGTATTTTGTCAATGTGTTTGCAGTGTTAGATGATTTACTTCTCACCGTGATGGCCTATGACCGCTTTGTGGCCATCTGCCACCCCCTGCACTACACTGTCATCATGAACCCCCGGCTCTGTGGGCTGATGCTTCTGGGATCCTGGATCCTTAGTAGCCTGAATTCGTTATCACACAGCTTACTGGTACTGCGATTGTCCTTCTATAAAGACGTAGAAATCTCAAACTTTTTCTGTGAACTCAAACAGGTGATTCAAGTTGCCTGTTCTGACACATTACTTAATAACGTGGTGATGTATTTTTCTACCTTTCCACTTGGTCTTGGTCCTCTAGCAGGGATCCTCTACTCTTACTCCAAGATAGTTTCGTCCATACGTAGGATCTCATCAGTTCAAGGGAAGTATAAAGCCTTTTCCACTTGTGCCTCTCACATTTCAGTTGTCTCCTTATTTTATTGTACTAGTCTGGGCGTGTATCTTGGCTCTTCTGCTACCCACAGCTCACAGTCCAGCTCAATAGCCTCCATGATGTACTCTGTGATCACCCCCATGCTGAACCCCTTCATCTACAGTCTGAGAAACAATGACATAAAGAGAGCTCTGAGGGCACTCTTATTCAAGGGAACTCTAATAGGACAATTGACCTAGGATTGAAGAAATGCCCAAAGTTGTTGAAGTCAAATTAAGAGAACAAAGTGATCATTGAACATCCTTGGGAAGCAGAACTTGCTCGCTATGTTTTCTGGATTTGCAGGTGATCTGTAATTCTACTTGTTAAGCTTTCTGCTTTCCTTTATGTCCAAACATTTTTTCTTTTTTTTTCTTTATTTTTCAAACATTTTTTACACTCTTGTTTGCTACCATTGTCTATTTTTTTCTAATCAAGGATTAGACATTAAAAATCTCTTAGTTACCTAATAAGATAACATAAAATTTTTTAAGGAATATATATAGGCAAATATTCATATATATATTTGCTTTTCAGGTCATACCCAGCGATGCACAGGGATTACTCCTGGCTCTGCACTCAGGAATTACTGGTGACAGTGCTTGGGAGACCATCTGGGATGCCAGGGATTTAACCCAGGTCAGCTCAGTGCAAGACAAACACCCTACCTACTATCACTCCAGCCCCTTAAAAATATATATATTTTTAGAAGACATAATACCAAAATTTTTTCCTTTTAACTAATTAATTAGGGATGAAATAATAGTGCAGTGGTAGGGCACTTGCTCTGCATACAGTTTCCCCAGGTTCTCAATTCCCTGGGACCCCAGATGGTCCCCCAAGCCCCACCAGGAGTGATCCCTGAGTGCAGAGCCAAGAAAAATCCTTGAACATAGTGAGGTGTTTCCCCGAATAAAAATAAAATAATTATTATAAGTGGTATGGCTTCACTAGAGGACATATCATGAGGATGATCAGGTTTTTAATGTCTATTAGAAAACCTGAGATGAATTTCACTTTTAAAATTGAATTCTAAGCATGATACCATCTCAACTGACCTTTCAAATAGTCTCCGGGTTTTGGAATCCTCAGTAGGATTTTGTCTTTTTCAGCAAATTGTCTGTTTCACCTGTTTCAGTTACTTGCAAAAGCAACCATGGACTTCATGTCTTCAAGAGGAGTCTTTATTGAAAGATAAATTCTTAGAAGTAGATAGAAACACTATGAACCTAATAGATCTGAAATGTGATGAAGTACAATTTCAAACCTAATCTTGTATAACATGCAAAATAAGTCTTGTTTATGTAGTGCAGTTACTCAGAGGGACGGGGAGTATACAAATGAGGGTTTATACACAAGCAGTACATGGACCCCTCGTATTTGTTATTGTCTAATCTCATTTTTCAGTTTGAAAACATCCGGTGCTATTTCAGTTAGGACTCCAGCTATCTTTTAAGTACACTAACAGCCCCCTCTGCACCTTGTATTAGCCAATGAAGTAAGTGAACATTATTACTATTTTAGTATATAGATCTTTCCGTGCATTTTTTGTCAAAAATAACTAAAGAGCTTGAATTTTTGTACAAGAATAGTCTGAACTGAATATAAATGTCTGGTAACCAGCCTAAGGGGGAAGCCAAATCTTCAGTTTGTCTCCATTCTGTTCACCACAAGTATTGCATGAGTTAACTTTTACTGTAGAATGACTTTGCTCTTAAGTATAATACCCTAGTGACCACACGAATTTGCAAATGTGCGTAGGATTCTGAGCTCTGCTTGTCTCTGAGTGAAACGGTACTAAGTTTTGAATATCTCCATAATGCTTCTTTTGTTCATTCTCTTTTTTTTTGTTTGGTTTGCAAGTGGGCATCCATAGCAGTGCTCAGGGCTTACCAAGGGCTCTGTGTTGAAAGATCACTCCTGATAAGGATTCTGAGCTCTGCTTGTCTCCCAATAAAACAGTTCTAGTTCTGGACCTCTCCATAATGCTTCTATTGTTCATTATTTTTGTGGAAGTAGGGTAGGGAACATACCTGTCAGTGCTCAGGGCTTACTACAGGCTCTGAGCTCAATAAACATTTCTTTGTTTTTCTTTAGCTTTTTATTTTGCTTTTTGGGTTCCACCCGGTGATGTACAGGGGTTACTCCTGCCTCCAAACTCAGGAATTACCCCTGTTGGTGCTCAGGGGACCTTATGGGATGCTGGAAATCAAAACTGGGTTGGCCACGTGCAAGGCAAAAACCCTACCCACTGTGCTATTGCTCCAGGCCCTCATTGATCATTTCTGACAATGTTTTGGTCACCATATACATTTTTAGGATTCAAACCAGGGTTGGCAAATGCTTAAACTCTTTATTATGTCTATGACACCTACTACAATTGCTATAGTGGTCTTCTGCAATGAATCATTTTGTGAACCAATTACTCTATTTCTTTATGTATTTTATATTTTACCCTATATACATGTGTATCCATGTCAATTGCCAGAATTCACTTGTAACCACATATTTCATCCTTCACTATACCCAACATAATTCCATAAACCATAGCCTGAACTCAATAAATTGACAACCCACATTCCACTATCATTGTCTAAGAGTTTGTTTAGTTTTTATTTTTTTCTTGAATACTTAACATACATGAGAAAAATGATACATACAAATGGCATTGTGTTTCACCATCTGATCCATTCACTGTGAACCACACTTTCTAGTTTCATTCACACTGTTGAAATTAAGCAAGATTATCTTATACTATAGTCGAAGTATCTCCACTGAGTCTAGATGAAAAATCAACTTTATCACACTTCTATCACCTAGGTTGTTTCCAACTTTTTTTAAAATTAAAAAAATTAATTTAATTAAAAATTTTAAAATTTTAAAATTAAACAATTTTTAAATTTCCAATTTTCAAAAAATTACTTCATTTTTATTTTTTATTAAGGCACTGTGCTTACAATGTTATTCATAACAGAGTTTTAGGTGTAAAATGTCCCAACAGAGGTGTAATGGTGGTGACATTGGTGTTTGAGTATTAAATGTAATAAAATATAGTGAACAACTTTATAAAATAAAAAAAATTTAATGTTTCAACAGTAGTCCCTGAAAACTTCCCTCCACCAATGCATCCAGGTTTTTTCCTACCATCCAGCTTGCCTCATGGACAGGCACATTTTTACGTTTAGATACTGTAGTTAGGATCTCCTACATACAGTGCTGTTGACTCTGACATTTAGATATACACATATACCTCACCTCGATGCCATAGATGCTATTTGTTAATAATAAATCAAAGCACAAAGAAGAACAGATGTTTCTATGAATGAGAATACTCTTGCTCTTGGGATCAATCCCCAGGTGAGAATACAGGGATAATAGACTATTTCTATTCTCAATTGTTTGAGGTGTCTCTGTACTGTTTGATGAAACAGTGAATGGTGAAAAAACAAACTGGATTCTTGGCTCTTGGGATCAGGAGCTAAGAATCCTTTTTACCCAGGGGATTTTTGCACAGGGACCATTTGTTTGTAGACTGAAGTTGCAGCAGGGGAAAAGTGCCTAAGGAATAGAGCGAGAATTATAAATGCCTCTTCCACTTCATGTCCACGCCCAAGTACTCTTACCGTAGGGGGACGTGGTTTTGCTTTCTTTTTGTCTGGATGCGTAATATTTGCTAGAGATAACTCAAGTTTGGTTCTCCCTGCTCTCTTCCACGAGATCAGAACTTCCAGCTTCAGCGGGTAGGAATTCAGACTTCCACGCGATCCCTTCCTCATGGCACGTCCAACCAAGTGAGTCTAATAACTGAGTTCACCTTTCATGAAGATGTAGCCCAGGCCATTAACCTGTGGTTACCTGCAGAAGCAAGAGATCATTCTGTTTCCATGCCTAATGGTTATATTTTTGCTTGCATAATATTTCAGTCTGCCTGTGCTCCTTACACTGTTCATTATCTTTTGTTTACTTTATCTGTCTAAAGTTATTATATGCATAGATGTTTGGGGGCCACACATGGCAGTGCTCAGGGCTAATTCTTAGCTCTGTTCTCAGTGGCTCTCACTCCTGGTGGCATGGCTGGTCGAGTCACTCTTGGTGGCTCTCAGGGGATCCAAATAATGCCAGGAATTGATCACAGGCTCCAAAAGCTATTGTATCAATGCTAGACATTATGTTGAGATTGTCAGATTCCAAGTGTGGTCATAAGCAGGAGTAATTATATCCACCAGAGATGAGTTTTGCCTTGTGACATTTCTTAGTTGTTGAGAGGGAGCAGGAGTAAGTGGTGGCCTGGGATTCTTAAAACATCCTTCCAGGCACAGGATAGACCTCACTAAGAGAAGGGACAGACTCAGAGTGTCCACCAAGGCTGAAACATAGTGTAAAGAAAAGCATTACTGATAGACTATATGACAGTCTTCGTGTCTTAAAACTTGTTCCTTAAAATAAAGTTACTATTAGGGAGTAATTTTGCTACCCATCAAAAATTTCTTTAAAAGTTTTTTAGTCTCAGGGCTGGAGCAATAGCACATTGGGTAGGGTGTTTGCCTTACATGCGGCTGACCCAGATTCTATTACCAGCATCCCATATGGTCCCCCGAGCAACACCAGGAGTAATTCCTGAGTGTGTGAGCCAGAAGTAACCCCTATGCATCGCCGGGTGTGACCTCCCCCCAAAAAACGTTTTCTTTTAGTCTTGGGGCTGGAGCGATAGTACAATGGGTAGGGCATTTGTCATGCATGTGGCCGACCCTGGTTCAATTCCCAGCATTCCATATGATCCCCCAAGTACCACCAGGAGTAATTCCTGAGCGCGTAAGCCGGAGTAACCCCTGTGCATTGTCGGGTGTAACCCAAAAATAAATAAATAAACGTTTTTAGTCTCCATGAATTACCAAATTGTCAAGTTATTCCTGATTGAGTCTCAGGCATACATTGTTCTAGCACTAACCCTTTCACCAGCGGACCTTTTCCTCCACAGGTGTTACCAGTTTCCCTTTGGCCCCCTTGCCCTGCCTCTTTGACAGGTAATTTTCCCTTTTTCTCTTTTCCATTAGAGCACTGTGATTCGCAATACTATGACTGAAAGTGTAGTATACCTATCCCTTTATTGTCTTTCAGCACCTTGTTCTCATCCAAATCAACAACATCACCCTGTAATGACAAATAAGAAGCTGTATGTAATGAGGATTATGAAACTGTAATGAAAATTAAGAAAATGTGATGGTGTTTGGGAAACTGAAACTGACCCCCTAAGTTAAACAAGAGAAGGGAGGGAGAAGCATTCATTTTATGACCCAATTAACCAAGTTAAGGGCCCACCAGCCCACCAGATTGATAGGAGCACACTGGACCCACCAGATTGATGGGAGTGCCTGGAAAATGGTACCAATGCCACGCTAATGTGGGCAAAAGATACTGACACTGATTGTTTTCCTTTTGAGTACCTGAAGGCCGTACCCTGTCAGAATGACGCATTGATTGTTTTTTCTTTTCCTTATTCCCTCTGTATCCCTGTTTCACTGGGATTTCATAAGAATGTATGTAGATTGTAGCACACCTCTAGAGAATGAAAGAGAGACCCTCTCAGCAAACGGGGCTCTAATTCTCTTTCTCTTTTGACTTGGGGTTCTCAGCGCTGAGACTTCTGACTTGGGGTCCTCAGCGCTGAGCCCCACTCGCCTATCCTGATATCTCTCTCTCTCTCTCTCTCTCTCTCTCTCTCTCTCTCTCTCTCTCTCTCTCTCTCTCTCTCTCTCTCTTTCTCTCTGCTTATGGCTCGCACCAGCACAAAAACCCCTATCATTTTTATAACATTCAAAATTGCGAATCTCATCTGAACAACAGCTCTACACCTGTGAGTGCAAAAAAGGTCTTCTTTTCTGAAACCATTTCAAAATCTCGGTGTATTTCCTGACCAGCATGTCTTGCCTATTTGTGACCTGGCTGTCTAGTATTCATCCCTTTAAAAAGGTTTCCAGACTTTCATTAATTTTTATAGTTAATTACACTTATGTAGTGAATAATGTATAACCATATATATGTATATTCATATATTTGGGTTTAGGGCTTGGATCTGGCTGGTTCAGAGTACAATATGGGGTGCCAGTGATTGAACCCCGGGTTGGTCCCATGCAAGACTAGTGCCCTACCTACTGTCTTATCACTCGAGCCTCTATATAGCTATGTTTTCAGCACATAGTTTCTCAGTTTATTTTTGGAAGTTTTTTTTACCACAAAATATTTTTAAAATATGAAATTATTCTGAGTTTGGTTTTATACTTATACATATATATTTATAAAAATGTCTGTATATGTATAGATGTATATTTTATATAAGCATGCTATCCTGATGTACTGTGCATATTTCTCTTTGTGAAGAGTTGGTTTATTCCATTAGTCATTTTATACATGGATGTACAATATATGAAGGGAGAGGAGGGTAAGAAGCACTGAGGTGGTGAGGGGTGGGGGAAACTGGGGTGGTGAGAGGTGAGGGGGACTGAGGTGTGAGGATGGAGTTATTGGTGGGTGAGGAGTGGGGGGACCAGGTGGTGAGGGGTGAGGGGATTTGGGGTGGTCCAAATTTATCTTATGGGTCACTACAACATATCACTTCTTTTGTCTTTTAAGAAAGTTTCTTTTGCCCCTTGGTTACATTGGATGAGTGTCAAGGAACTGTTTTCAGGCTTGGAATTCCTCCAGGCTGAGTTTTCTTTCTCATATTCGCTAGAATACTGACAGAGCTCATTGAAACTCTGCTTCCTCTGTTAGGGCACAACTCTGGATCTCTGACTGCAAGCAAGGACCACGCAGGAATGCAATCAGCAAGCAGGTAGTTTATTGAGCTGGCTAGCCAGGGTCAAGCGGTCAGGCAAGACCCCAAGCTTCTTCAAAGGAGATCTTATATAGGTCTTCACTGGCCATTACAGCAGAGCCCACACATTTCATGGCCAATAGATTCGTAACAACGTATACTTTTTTAACCAGTCCATTTAAAAGCACACCACTTCTTAGCCCATAGATTCAAAGTTCAGCATTTTTACATGGGCATTGTGGCTAGCGGGTATCTCATAACTCAGACATCTTGTTATCTTCTATGTCTACCCCCGGCTCCCATAAGTTATAGCTCAGGACACCTGCATTCCAGGGGAGGGGGATGAGGGGAGAGTTACTAGCTGAGGGGCAGATAAAGAAGAGTCAACAGTGTGGGCAGAATTTACATCTCAATTAAGTGGAGGCAGAATTTACAGCTCAGGGCTCTACTAGGGAAGGGGCAGGATTTAATATCTCAAGGCTTTACCAGGGAGGGGGCAGGTAAGGAAGAGTTACTAAATAGCAGAGTTTAGCTCTGGAATTTCCCTCTGGGTCTCATGGGACCTTACACCTCCTTCTCATTGAATTTATTTGTCCACCTATTTCCATGCCATTTTTTAAAACAGAATTTGAAATGTCTGCTTAAATACATGGCAAATACTGATATCCTTATCTGGAGACCAATGTTTATACTCTTATGGGAGGTTTTAGATATAAAAATTTACATGAGTGGTATCCTTCAGGTGTGTAATATTAATAATTAAAACAAAACAAACAGTCAGACCCAACAAAGCGCAATAACTACTAGATAATCAAGTAGTTAGAATGGTTGTGAGAATCTCTCTGGCTCTTAAAGAGCAATTGGAGGCCAAGGGTGTTCCAAAATGGGGCTGGAGCACAGTGGGTAGGAAGTTTGCCTTGCACACAACCAACCCAGGTTCGATTACCAGCATCATATATGGTTCCCCGAACACTGCCAGGAGTAATTCATGAATGAATGATCCAGGAGTAACCCCTGTGCAATGCCAGGAGTGATTCCTGCCCCCCCCCAAAAAAACCCAAAATCAAAACCAAGCATGTTCCTAAGAGGTGAGGGGCATCATTCATTGGTTGTCTGGAGAGGAACTTGAGGGTGGTGAATAGAACATCTACAGAAACATGATGCTAATCTTTTATCTCATTGTATCCAAGAGAATGATAAATTAAAAAATCAAAATTAATGTAAAAAAAAGCAAAATCACAAAATGGCATTTCAATACTAAACTGGAGAAAGATATATGATGTGGGAACTTAGTTTTTATCTAACGAGTGAGTAATTGGTATGGGTTGGAGTGAGAAAGATGTAAAAATAACATTAATCAAGAGTCATGATACCAGGCTGGAGTGATAGCACAATGGATGGGGCGTTTGCCTTGCATGCGGCCAACCGGGATTTGATTCCCAGCATCCTGAGTGAGTGAAAAGCCAGGAGTAACCTCTGTGCATCGTCGGGTGTGACCCCCCCCAAAAAAAAACCCCAAAGAGTCAGTGTGTGGGATGTGTGTGTGCGTGTGTATGGATGTGTGGGGTGTGTCTGTGTGTGTGTGCATGTGTTCATGTTCATGTGTGACATATGTGTACATGTGCAGTCTTGGGAACCCTGTCAAACAGGTCCTGGAGCCTCAGCCAGTGAGGCTAGCCACAGAGAATGAGACAAACATACAGACAGAGAGGAGAAAGACAAACATAAATGCACTTTCCAAACTTAGGATCATCCAAAGGGCATGAGTGGTCTCACAGGCTGCCCACTTATTCAATATTACTCTGCTCACCCACCAGGGGCTGCCATTGTTTAAGTTGACAGTGACATTAAAATACAATAATTACATGAAGATCAAAAACTGGGGTATTCCGCATAGCTAATCAGCAAGTATCCTTAAAAGTATAGCGTAAAGTTGCAATAATTTCCTAATCTAGTCTTGCCCATGTTATTCCTACACCTAAAAGACTCTAAACAGTCTATACTCTATACTCACCCGTTGCATTATTTGGCAGCTAGCAGATATTTGTTATCTACTCTAGTCTTTCCTGCTCTATTGTTCTTTTCCATCTAAACTATTTTACCTAAGGGCCTCTCCCATCCTTGGGGCTCATGGTTAGCACTGTAGCACTTTCCTCCCGTTGTTGATCAATTTGCTCAAGCGGGCCTAGTAAAGTCCCCATTGTGAGACTTGTCACTGTGTTTGGCATATCAAATACGTCACAGGGAGCTTGCCAGGTTTTGCTGAGCGGGCGAGATACTCTCGGTAGCTTGCTGAGCTCTCTGAGAGGGGCGGAGGAATTGAACCCAGCTCTGCCTGGTGGCCAGGCCGCACACAAGGTAAACGCCCTACCGCTGTGCTGTCCTCCAGCTTTCCTGCTCTATTGTTCTTGCCCTACTCTAGTCTTTAGTGCTCTATTGTTCTTTCCTACCTAAACTATATTACCTAGGGGCCTCTCCCATTCTTGGGGCTCATGGTTAGGGGGACAAATTCCCACCGTGTGGTTCTGTTTGTGTTGCCTGGAAAGTGAGTGATCCTCAGACCCAAGGGTAACTTAAATACAAGGTGACTCTTCAATTCTTACATCAGACTGTACTAAAGAGTATTTGTTTAAATCACCAATGTTGCAACGAGATTAATAAAGGAGGAGAGGCCAGAAGGAATAAGGTAAGTCCCATTGGACGAGGTTTCAGAACAGTGTCAAAGACACATCACTCTTCATCTCAAAGCATCTCTTTTCCTTCTTCATCTTCCTCAGTTGGGATGAAAGGCAGGCTCCAATTCTGTGACTTTTCATCTGAAAGAGCAGTTTTCATGGGCCCTTTGCAATGGTCATTTCCTTTGTCTCCTTCCAGAACAAAACCCCAGCCCCTCCCACTCTCTCTCGTACTTCATGCTAAATATCATCTATGTGTGCTGTTGCCTAAACACCCTTGGCCAATAGAACAGGTTCTTCAGTCTCTCATATTTTGCTTCCCTTTTCTTCCAATGGCTTGTATCCTTCAAAAATGTCATAACATTTTTATTTTCTACCTAGATATTATCTCTTTCATTGAATTATTTAAGAATATTTGTTCTTCCCGACACTGTACTGTTACTAGCAATTTCCTAAGCAAAGGAATACTTCATTTCTTTTCTGTCATGCTTGGGAAATTTCTAATTTACTTTGTAGAAAACATTACTTATTAAAAAAAATGAATGCTTGGGGAAAAATATTCATAGTGGGAGTGACTTGGGGGCTCTCCTCAGAAGAAAAGGACCCACCCATCAAAAACTGTCAATTCATGTTTGCGACAATAAATTGAAGAAATTCAAATAGGTAAAGAATGCAGGTATATGTGAATAATTTTTATCCTGTTATTTTCCCTCTCCAGTTATCTCGACAACATGAAGTCAGAGAACAACTCACAAATAGCAGAATTTATACTACTAGGATTTTCACATGAACAAAATCTGCAGCCCCTCATCTTTGGAATTTTCCTCTCCATGTATCTTCTTACTATCTTTGGAAATCTACTCATCATCCTGGCTGTCAGCTCCGACTCCCACCTCCACACACCCATGTACTTCTTCCTCTCTAACCTGTCCTTGGTAGACATTGGTTTTGTCACCACCACTGTCCCCAATATGCTGGTGAATCTACAGACAAGGAGCAAAGTCATCACCTATGAAGGCTGCATGTCCCAGATGTACTTTGTCATGCTCTTTGCTGTGCTGGACATACTCCTCCTAACTGTGATGGCCTATGACCGTTTTGTAGCCATCTGCCACCCCTTGCACTACACAGTTATCATGAACTCTCAGCTCTGTGGATTGTTGCTTCTTTCATCCTGGCTCACAAGTGTCCTGCATTCCTCGGTAGAAAGCCTAATGGTGTTGCAACTGTCCTTCTGTACTGATGTGGCAATTGCTCACTTTTTCTGTGAACTTAATACCATGGTCCAAATGGCCTGTTCTGATGCCTTTCTTATGAATGTCGTGATGTATAGTTCAGTCGTCTTGCTGGGGGTAGGGTCATTTTCTGGGATTCTTTATTCTTACTCTAAGATCATTTCTTCCATACTTAGAATCAGGTCAGCTCAGAGGAAGTCTAAAGCATTTTCCACCTGTGTGTCTCACCTCTCTGTGGTCTCCTTGTTTTATTGTACAAGCCTAGGAGTGTACCTGAGCTCTGCTGGTACCCACAGCTCACAGTCAACTTCAACAGCCTCAGTGATGTACACAGTGGTCACCCCAATGCTTAATCCCTTTATCTACAGTCTGAGGAATAAAGACATCAAAGGGGCTTTGGGGACATTTTTTGTGAAGGAGATAGAAAAATGAAAGCAATGTTACAACTGATAAAGTATCCATTGTAGGATAACATTGGTTTGTGCTTTCTCCTCTGACACCAGGAGTTTAGGTTTATTGAGTAACACCCATCGCAATACTCCTGAAGCACTCCCATTTCCTTGGTATTCATCTTAAACTTCTTGGTGCTCTCCTTTCTTTTCCTGTTTGTTAATCACTCATTTCCCCTAAGCAGTACCTTTGACTTGTAAAGTCAAATTCCTCAGAAATCTCTGATATGTTGTTTTTCTCCTTTCTTTAAGTTCTTTGCATAGTTTATGGTTGTTGGACTAAGGAAAGGAGAAACACACTCCTAGATTTTATTTAGATTTATTTGGCCCTTGAGCCGATCTCCAGGCTGCAGGAGATCTTTGGAAGAGCTTCCCCGGAAGGAAGGGCCTTTGCATAAGCTGATTGTGCTGCCTCACCTGTGTGGTTGCTAGCCCAAGGCTTGGATGCTGTGAGATGGGAGCACAGAGAGACTAGCATGGAATGGGAAGCTTAGTGAGAAGGAAACAGGTGCATGGGGGAGAATGGAACAAACAGCAACTGATCATCAACCAGCCTGGCCCCCGTTTTATCCTCCTTTTATCCATGTCATCCATCACTGTCAGCTATTCAGGGAGATGGCCTAATCACCACACACATGTGGAGAGAGAGCGTACCCCCTTTTTATTTTGTGATTGTAGGACAAAAGGCCACAGGGCATTTGATCCGCTGCAGAAATGCAAACTTATTCTTTTACTATTTCCTGACATTCCCATTTCTTTTACCTCAACTTCTGTCTTTAATTGATGTAAGTTTTTTAATGTAGGAGTGCTAACATATTACACTTTCTTCCTCTCTCCTGTCTAACAGAGTGCCTTTTGAAGTTTTAATACCGTATTTTTTAAAATTATTATTATTTAGGTTTTCCTATTCATGTCTAGAAATAACACTGGTTCCAGAGAAAGTTCACATGTGACATTTACCATAATAAAATCTTTATTTAATTTTACTAAAATATATTCAGAGATTTCACTTCTCCAGTATGTGTATGGCTAAAAAACAACATTTGACAATCGAGAAAATATAAATAATTTCAGAGTAGAGGAAAATCTGAGGCCATTATTTTTCTCCGTTCGGTCCAAAATCCTCTGAATCATTTTCTTCACCGTTCTTAGGATAAGGTAGCATTTGAGATACTATTTAATAAGTATTTTGTATTCTTTTACTGTATTTTTTAAAATTAGAATACTATTATCTTTCAGTTTGTTGCCTGTAAGCTTAATTGGTTCCTGAAAAAAGTGCTCATAAATTACATGTCTTTAAGAGGAATATTTATTGCAATATACTGATCAAATTATGAATTTAGAGTCACAGATTGTGCCCTTTAATATTTTTTATTGAATTTAGGTCCCATTCTGCTTGCCAACTTTCAGCTCTTTGTAAATTGTTGCTCTAATGGCACTATCTCCCACCTTCTGTATTTTTTCACGTTCATTCGTGGACTGTGAATGAACAATAACAGCATCATAAATTATAGGATTATGTTTTGCTCAGGATCTTTCCAGCCTTGGGCTCAAAAAAGACTCGTAGAGCTTGATCAGTCATGTGAATCAGGGTCGAATTTTCTACACAGCCATGCATGGCCTTTTCAATACTCTTCTTACCTGGAGAGAGAGCCTAGTAATTTTGGGGCAAATTCCTCAGGATTTCTCAGGGAGTGTTGGAGTCACACCTGGTGATTCTTGGCCATCCCAGAGAGTCTAATGCAAGGAACTGAATGAACTCACTTCATCCAGGTGAGTTCAACAACAAGCTACAAGCTTGGAAGAAAGAATAAAGCCAGGAGCACTGACCTGCGGTCCGATTCTGCCGAGCCCAGAAAGATAGGAGATGTCTCTATTGACTGGTTTGCTTATTGAGGAATGGATTTCCTTAAGGCTCTTATCATATTTTAGTGTGATTTCACATTTGATCTTTTACTTTCTTAATAGCAGCAAATAGAGCATTTGCCTTGCATGCGGCCGACCGGGGTTCGATTCCTCCATCCATCTCAAAGTGCCTTGCAAGCAACTGAGAGTATCCCACTCCACGGTAGAGACTGGTGTATTCAATATGCCAAAAACAGTAACAACAAGTCTCACAATGGAGATGCTACTGGTGCCTGCTCGAGCAAATCAATGTATAAGAGGAGGACAGTGCTACAGTGCTACTTTTTTAATCATTCACGATCACGATCACGATCATCCTGTTGTTCGTTGAGCCATTTCAATGCTCTTTCAGGATTAGGAGAATGAGACCCATCATTGTTACTGGTATTTGGCATATTGAGTATGACACGGGAAGTTTGCCAGACTCTGCCGTGCGGGCAGGATACTTTTGGTGGCCTGCCAGGTTCTCCAAAGGAAAAATAAGATAATAAGATGTCTTCCGGGAGCTGGGTTTTATAGTCTCTGCATCTTGGCCGTTGTTGGAACCAATCTGGTGCTGGCGGCAGCTGGTGGGTGTGATGCCTACCTACTGGAAGATGGGGGGTCTGGTTGGAGAAGACCCAGTCCCAATCCAAGTAGGCTTGGAGACCTCAGCCCCGGGACCCACATGCCTGGGTTCCTCTGCCACTTCTTTCATGCATGAGGCCCATCCGGACGTGTGGAGTGTGGTCTCAGCATGGCTGTGACTGGCTCCGGAGGTCCTCAGCTGCTGAGACTCTGCTCGGGGTAGGAGGGGGGAGAGAAACTAAACCCTCCCCCCTCCAAGGGGCCCCCGGTGAGGATAGCCAGGTGCGGGGGCAGGAGACTCTGCACTGTTCTCCTCCAGGAGCTGGGTTTTATAGTCTCTGCATCTTGGCCGTTGATGGGACCAACCTGGCACTGGCGGCAACTGGTGGGTGTGACGCCTACCTACTGGAAGATAATCATTATATTACTGCAATATCAATATACTACTGTAGTGATGGGATTACCAGAGTGACTTGAAAATGCTCAGAAGAGTCTGACAATCCTTGGTGGGGGAAATCTCCAGAGCAACACCCAGTGATATTCAGAGGAGCATGAGGTGCTGGGATCAAACTGTATTTAGCCACAGGAAAGTCATGTTCCTTGACTCCTCCGCTATCTTTCCAGGCCCCAATCAATGATCCTCTTAAACAGAGAACTGTCTGCAATTTTTCACTATTCAGAATGGAGTCTTGAAGCATAACTGAATACCCAGTTATTGATATGGAGATATTGTGAGAACCTGCTTAGCTGGAGAACTCCCATGATAGGCTTTGTGGCCTCTGAATGACTTAAATCTCTTCTAGGAACAATAAAAGCAGAAAAACCAGACAGTAGTCAAAGATTAGGTCCCCAGAATGGGATTAAGTCTCCGGAATGTAACTATCAGGAAGTGGGCTGGATGTTGGGGGCCAAAATGACAACACCAGTGAAAACTATATATGTAATAGAAAATTGCTGAATAATGCCTATTTGCTAAAATGAAAGTATAAGAACTTGCTGAGTCTAGTGCTCAGGGTCCTTGTTGAAACCCGCTGCACCAGGCAGATACTTGGACCCCAACTAGCTGGAACAATAAACCTCACTATGTGATTTGCATTATCAGTTCTGTTCTCTGTCCTTGAAGGGTGGTTGACTCCGGACCCTAGCAATATATTACAAATTAGGTGATCTCACTCTAAGAATTTTATCAGACATCAAAAAAGGTGTCTTTAGTCCAAGTTTATCACCCAAATTCCTGTTCATTTTTTACTGTGTAGAAGAGCAATTATTCCATGTGATAAACAATGGACGTGGCATCCCAGATCAGTGTTCTGAAGAGAAAAGGGACTTAATCCTGAAAGATTCCATAAAAGAGAAAGCAGAAAAAAAACCTGCACTCAAATGAAAATAAGGAGCTAATTGGTTTAGTGATTTGGGAAAGAAAGAGTTTTAAAATGCATTCATTTGGTTTCTAATGTCTTGGGAAATAAGAATCATTAGAACAATTTCCTTTGTGTCCAAATGAGTTTTCCACAGAGTTACCCTGTGCTTAGAGAATGGAGAAGTAAAAAAAAGAGCTTAATGAGAAGAAGAGGGAGCTGTAGATATCTTCTCTCTTGGTCTTCCTCTCCTCCATTGGGTCTCAGAGGAACATCTTGGTCTGTTTCCTGTTGTTGATTTGCGTTTCTCACTCTGGCTGAGGTTCTGATGTTTGAGTCCTTTCTGCTATCTCGTCTGAAGTCATACTTTACATCTCACATTATCAGTTATCCAAAAAGGAATTCAGAGTTCTACACAGACATCTTCCTCTTCAGGTTTCCATCCAGGTGAGTTCAACAACAAGCTGACCCTACAAGCCAAGGAAGAAAGAATGAAGCCAGGAGCACTGGTCTGTGGTCCGATTCTTCTGAACCCAGAAAGATAGGAGATGGTCCCATTGGCTGGTTTGCTTATTGAGGAAACAGATTTTCTTAAGGCTCTTATCATAATTTAGTGTGATTTCACATTTGATCTTTTACATTCTTAATCATTATATTACTACTATATCAATGCTTGGAAAATGTGTTGAGGTAAATTAGTGTAAGGTGTATTTCAAAATCGTGCTGAAAATGTCAACTAATGCCCACAGAATGTCCAAAGATATGTATGGCAGTCATAGTTTCAAAGAAGAGTGAGTGGTAGCCAGGATAACCATTTTCATCATCTTCCCAGGACAGAACGAACCACACTGTGAAGGACCTGGTTTAAGCATCACAAGCGCTTGACTAATAAACTGCAATGCAGGAGAAATTACTGTCTAAAATATTTGTAATTGTTTTTATTTACTTATTATTATCATATTATTTGCTTTTTGGGTCACACCCAGTGATGTTCAGGGGTTACTCCTGGCTCCGCATTCAGGAATTACTCCTGGTGGTACTTGGGACCATATGGGATGCTGGGGATTGAACCCCGGGTCAGCTGCGTGCAAAGCAAATGCTCTACCCACTGTACTTGTAACTGCTTTTACTATTTTCTTTATTTACAATTTTAATGCTTTCTTTCTTCCTTCCTTCCTTCCTTTCTTTCTTTCTTTCTTTCTTTCTTTCTTTCTTTCTTTCTTTTTTGTTCTGTTTTTGGACCACATTCGGTGATGCTCAGGACTTATTACTGGCTTTGGGCCCAGAGATCATTCCTTATTGGGCATGGGGGAACAAAGCAGATACTGGAAACCAGGTCAATTATTGTACTATCTCTCCGGTCCAACACATTCTTTTTCTACCAGCAAAATTAGAGATGCTATTTTTTTTCTGTTTAAGACTTCCAACCTCAGGTTGACAATTCTTTAAATTGTTCCATCAGTGCTGGTGCCAACATGATTTTAAACAATATATTTCAATGCATTTGTTATTTGCTTATAATTTTGAATTTGTGATTATATGGGCAAGGATGTTTTCTTGCTTTCCCTAGGAACATTTTAAATGATTTTTCCAGCTTCTTCTTTTCCAGTTGACCTTCAGATTTTTCCCCCAAGTTGAAATTTTAAACATAATTCAATTTTTCTCTTAAAATTCACTGATCACTTTACTCCTGATTCCCTTACTTCATGTTATGAACAGACCTGAGCCACCTGAATCATTTGTATCTAATTTTCTAAGTGTTTATCAAATTATAATTAGAATTGTTACTCTAAGATTTTTTTTTTTGCTTTTTTTGTGTCACACCCGGCAATGCACAAGGGTTATTCCTGGCTCATGCACTCAGGAATTACTCCTGGAGGTGCTTGGGGGACCATATGGGATGCTGGGAATTGAACCCGGATCGGCCACATGCAAGGAAGACGCCCTACCGCTGTGCTATTGCTCCAGCCCCACTCTAATATCTTTATCCAATTCATTTCTAAGATGTCCAAGGGATATGGGCAATATTAAATTTACCCTACAGATAGTTTTTACATTCCCTTTTGTAATCCAATTTTTCCCATCTAAACATAAAAAAATCTGAATTTCCAATGGTACTAGTATCTATACACTGTTACCTAATATTTTAAGAAAATAAGAAATGAGCATTTATCATTTTTCTATATGTTGTGGGGTTTCAGAATAGTAGAGGGGACATATTGGGTTTCAGTCATATGATGTTCCAACACTCATACCTCTAATACAGGCACTTCTCTCTCTCTCTCTCTCTCTCTCTCTCTCTCTCTCTCTCTCTCTCTCTCTCTTCCTCCCTCCCTCTTTCATCCTCCCTCTCTATTTCCTTTTGTGTATTATGGTTTCCAATACAGATACTGAAAGGTTATCATGTATATCCCATTCCCTACTTTCAACATTCAGTTCTTATCCAGAGTGATCATTTCCAACTATTTTCATACTAGACCCTTCTCTATCCTAACTGCCCTTCCCTCCGCCCCGCCCCGATCCAAACACTTGTGGTACAATTTCAACCATTTACCAGTCCTCCTGACCCCATTTATCCTTAGCATTGGATATTCCTCTCTTGCTGAACCTGAATGACACCTGTGTGCAGCTCTTGTTAACAAAGAGAACATACTATTTACAATTCCTTCTGTTCATGCTTGCTTTTTTGCACCAAATCTCACCCTTTGGAATGGTGTCATGTTCCTTCTCCCTCATTGAATTGAGGGATGTTGGTTCTCCTGAGCTTTAGATTCATTGCCTAGCATAAAGAGACCAATGAATATTCATTCAATCCACTAAGACTTTCCCAAGTAAATGTGGTACCCAATAACCCAGAGAGCAAAAGCTTGTGGAAAAATCCTCATGTTGTAGGTGGTATAACAAATATTTCCAAGAGGAAGAGATTCACATGGATAATATTAAAAATAATTGTTTGCATGCAAAAACAAACTTTGCCTTTCAAATACACAAATATTATTAGCATTATAGTCTTTGCTTCTTTCTTATAGCTATCTCAAAACATGAAACCAGAAAATGACTCACACATTTCAGAATTCATTCTTTTGGGATTTTCAGATGACCCAGAACTGCAGCCCCTATTATTTGTGCTTTTCCTGTCCATGTACCTGATCACTGTCTTTGGGAACCTGCTCATTATTCTGGCTGTCGGCTCAGACTCCCACCTCCACACGCCCATGTACTTCTTCCTGTCCAACCTGTCCTTTGTGGACATCTGCTACACCTCCACTACCATCCCCAAGATGCTGGTGAATATAGAGAGGGAACGTAAAGTCATCACGTATGAAGGCTGCATGACTCAGATGTACTTTGTCATAGTTTTTGGTGTGTTAGATGACTTCCTTCTGACTGTGATGGCCTATGACCGCTTTGTGGCCATCTGCCACCCTCTACACTACATGACCATCATGAGCCCCAGGCTCTGTGGACTGCTGGTTCTGGGATCTTGGATCATGAGCAGCCTAACATCCTTGTTACAAAATTTGATGGTGTTGCAATTGTCCTTTTGCACAGACTTGAAAATCCCCAACTTTTTCTGTGAACTACAGCTGATGGTTCAACTTGCCTGTTCGGATACATTACTTAATAATGTGGTGATGTATTTTTCAGCTGTTCTGCTGGGCGGGGGTCCCCTGGCTGGGATCCTTTATTCTTACTCTAAGATAGTTTCCTCCATACGTGGAATCGCATCAGCACAGGGAAAATTGAAAGCCTTTTCTACCTGTGCATCTCACCTCTCTGTAGTCTGTCTGTTTTATAGCACTAGTGTAGGTGTGTATCTGAGCTCTGCGGCTGTCCACAGCTCACAGTCAAGTTCAACAGCCTCAGCCATGTACACGGTGGTCACTCCCATGCTAAATCCCTTCATCTACAGTCTGCGGAACAAAGACATCAAGAGGGCTTTGAAAACGTTCTTGTTGAAGGGATCTACGAAAGAACCATTGTCCTCCTAATGATGAAATGTCCATGATTTTTAGTTCAAACTCTTAGATAAGGAATTATGATTATTCATCATACATTGAAAGTAGAATTGATTATTTATATCGATTTCATGGATCCCCATTTCTTTGACCTCAGCTCTCTTCATTTTATGTTCTTCTACAGGGTAAGCTTTTCATTATTCTTGAATGCCCAATATTACTTCCTGTCATTGTGTCAACATTTCCAAATTAATTTCCACTGATGGATTTAACTATTTGAAAATTGTATTTACTTAGCAAGAAAACAAAGGAATTTTACCAAAAATATCTATCTACTTAGCTAGCTATATCTTATACCAAATATTTTCTTTTTATTTTACTAATGAATAAACTCTACTACTATATGACTGACAGGCTACATGTGCTGATCAAGTTTATTTATGTAGCATAATAAAAATATATGTGATTATTTTCACCTTAGGTTCTATTCTTGAATACGTTATGCTCCTAACAGATCTTTACAATAAAGTAGGATTTAGCATATTAGTCTAAATGGGTTTTAGGTCACTGGGTTTTATTATTTTAAGTAAAATCTACATCTCTGTAGATTGTCAAGTAGTCCTTGTCTCATCATACGCAGAATGTTATTAATTTCTTATTTTCTAGAGGAATCTTTGTTCCAATAAAACATTTCAGAAGTAGAATGAAGTAATGGAAAACTGGTAAAGGTAAAAGGTAAAGGCCCTCCCGTTGATCATCGATTTGCTCGAGCGGGCCCAGTAACGTCTCCATTGGAGACTTTGTTGTTACTGTGTTTGGCATATCGAATACATCACGGGGAGCTTGCCAGGCTCTGCTATGTGGGCGAGATACTCTCGGTAGCTTGCCGGGCTCTCCGAGAGGGGCGGAGGAATCGAACTCGGGTCGGCCATGTTGGCTGCGTGCAAGGCAAACGCCCTACCGCTGTGCTATCGCTCCAGCAATGGAAAACTGATTGTACATAAATATGAGGAAGTATGATTTCAAGCCCTGTATTTGTGACTATTCGTAGTACACATGCCCAGTGGTGCAGGTTGTATTAATGTCTCTGTGTAAGAGGGAAAGATTCATGGGAATTGTGAATTTTTATTGTCTGATATTATTTTTCAATTTTCAAACTTCTAATGCTGTGTGTATTCAAGTTCAATATCTACATTTTTGTCATGTATGACCACTAAAGATTTGTAAGTGAACATTTTAATTATTTTATATTATAAACTTTTTCATGCTCACTTTTTTTCATTTCTTTTAAAAAAATTTTTAATTGAATCACCATTAGATACAGTTACAAAGATTTCACGTTTGAGTTTCAGTCATACAATGATCCAACACCCATTCCTCCACCATTGCACATTTTCCACCACTGATGTCCCCAGAATTCCCCCCCATACATTTTCCCCCATACTCTCTCTCTACTTTGGGGCATTTTGGTTTGCAATACAGATACTGAGAAGTATCACGTTTGGTCATCTATTGACTTTCAGCACACATCTCTCATCCTGAAGGATCCCTCCAACCATCATTAACTTAATGATCCTTTCTATATTCCAACTGCCTTCTCTCCCGGCTCATGAGGCAGACTTCCAACTATGGAGCAATATTCCTGGTCCTTGTGTCTATTGTCCTTGCGTGTCAGTCTCATATTATGTTACTTTATATTCCACAAATGAGTGCAGTCATTCTATGTCTGTCCCTCTCTTTCTGACTCATTTCACTTAGCATGATACTCTCCATGACCGTCCACTTATAAGCAAATTTCATGACTTAATCTTTCCTAACAGGTGCATAGTATTCCATTGTGTAGATGTATCACAGTTACTTTAACCAGTTTTCTGTTCTCGGGCACTCAAGTTTTTTCCAGATTCTGGCTATTGGGAACAATGCTGCAATGAACATTCATGCTCACTTTTCATCTCCTTGGTTAAGTTGTGTCTCAACAGCACCTGAAGTACAGGAATGGACAGAAATAAAAACAAATACCTAAGTACCCATGATTTCACCTTGAAATATAACCAAAAAAACTAAGAATAAGCCGATTATGACATTGGCTTCTTATGGCGATCACCCTCAGTAAACTGTCATTATATACCAAACTTTGGTATATAATTTTTTATATAATTTTTTGTTTTATATAATTTTTTTGGTTTTCGGTTTTATTTTTTTTTGGTTTTTGGTTTTATATATTTTTGGTTTTATATATTTTTTGATTTTATATAATTTTTGGTGTTCACCTTTGGTGTTTTTTGTTTGTTTTTTTACAAATTCTGGATTTTATTTGTTTTATTTTTTCTTTACTTTTTGAGTCACACTCAGTGATGCTTAGGGGTTTCTCCTGACTCTGCACTCAGTAATTACTCCTGACAATGCTCAGGGGACCATATGGGATGCCAGGGATTGAACCCAGGTAGGCCGTGTGAAGGCAAATGCTCTTCCCGCTGGACTATTGCTCCAACCCCATCTTTGGTGTTAACTTTGACATAGATTTTCTCTGTATTGAGCCAAAATGGAAACAGTTTACTTGACCTCTTTACCTATTTTATCTTCTCTCATGTAAAGATCTATCAGTATGACTTAGTTTACTTGCTACCTTGTGTTCCTAGGATAAATCATACTCAGTCATGGTGTATGATCATTCTGATGCATTAATGGATTTGATTTGCCAATATTTTGTGGATAATTTTTGCCTCCTTATTCATCAAGGACATAGGTCTGTAGGTTTCTTGGCTCATGGTGTCTCTGTATGCTTTTGGTATCAGTGGATCATTTGATTTCTGAAAACTGGGAGGATTTCTGTTTCTTCAACTTTCTGGAAGAGCTTGAAAGGGTTAGAAGAAGGTACTTTTTAAGATATGGAAGAAGTTGCTCGTAAACCCATCCTTGATCAGGCTTTTCTTTTATTTTATTTTTAGTAGGGTTTCTCCTTGCCATTACAGAGTCTTTGCTAGCAATGAATCTATTCAAGTGCTTTGGTTTCTCTAGATTCAGCCTTGAATGGTTGTAAGAGTCTGGGACTGGAGAGATAGTACAGCAGGTAGGGTACTTGCCCTGCACATGGTGGGCCCACGTTATATTCCCAACATCCCACATGGTCTCCTGAGCCTGCCAAGAGTGACTCCTGAGTGCAGAGCGAGGGGTAAACCCTGAGCACTGCCAGGTGTGGCCCCCAAACAAAAAACAAAACAAGAGTCAAAAATATATATCCTTTTTTACTAGATTCTCCAATTTCTTGGCATAGGAATTTTCACAATTTTCACAGAAATCCCTAGCAACCCTTTGAATTTCTGTGGTATCCATTGTCAGGTTTGCTTTCAGGAATAGCAATTCTGTAACAGCCTTTAGTGGATATCATGATGGTGGAAGGGGATCAAAAACTCTCTTGCAGTCCAGGTCCTTGGAGTCTTCAGTGCCCATGCTCTGTTGCTGCTCTCCAGTCTCCTGGGCTCCATGAAAGACTATCCAGAAGCATGGTTTATTCCAGCAGCTCTAGGAAAAGTACTATTAAAACTGTTCTTAAATTTTCGGTGGAGGCACCTGCACCATGTTCCAAAGTAAACCATGTATTTTTCAGGATGGACTCATTTGGTTTGTATAGACAAACAGGAAATATAGACATGTATACACACACACACACACACACTCACCTGCGCAATGGAACAAAGAGAACCACGGTGGAATGGAACTTGGGTGATGCCCTGCCTGTGGATGATGGATGTTGATGTTTTTCTTTGTATGTTTTTATTCTACTGCTTAATTTTTGAAAGTCACATCAGTTTACAACTTTTCTATATATTTCAGCATTCTAGAGCAACATCATCATATATAATATTATTTCTCTCCCCCCTCCCAGCCCCAAATCTGTTTCCATCCTTCAATGCAACCAATTTAGCATTTAAACTCTTCAATTGCCTTGAGTCAAACAGCATTTCATTCTTAGAGTCAAACTGTTTTTTTTTTCCATTTGTTTCTGTCTTTTAAAACATCCTTTATATGCATGGACAAATTAAAAATCTCAAATGTCATTTTTCTTTCTCCACCTTCTAGTTTCACTCATGTTGCTTGAAAACAGGATTTTTGTCCTTTTCAAAAGTTGACATTAGGGGCTGGAGAAATAGCACTAGCACAGTGGGTAGGGCATTTGCCTCACACACGGGTGACCTGGGTTCAATTCCCAGCATCCCATATGGTCCCCTGAACACCACCAGGAGTAATTTCTTAGTGCATGAGCCAGGAGTAACCACTGTACATTGCTGAGTATGAGCCAAAGAGAAAAAAGTTGACTATTTATATCAATTGCTCATACATGGAAAATCTCCTTTTTCTGCAAACTGATTCAAAATTTTAAGTAATTGTTAATACTTGGATAGTGAACACAGTGGAGCACATCTCTTTGAATGAGAACCTTTCCAATCTTGCTATGAATACTTGGTTATAGAATAGCTGGTAAGAACAGGATGATTATGTTCCTAATTATTTGAGAAATTTCTACCCATACTCTTCTCCTGAATGAGAAGAAGAAGAAGAAGAAGAAGAAGAAGAAGGAGAAGGAGAAGGAGAAGGAGAAGGAGAAGGAGAAGGAGAAGGAGAAGGAGAAGGAGAAGGAGAAGGAGAAGGAGAAGGAGAAGGAGAAGGAGAAGGAGAAGAAGAAGAAGAAGAAGAAGAAGAAGAAGAAGAAGAAGAAGAAGAAGAAGAAGAAGAAGAAGAAGAAGAAGAAGAAGAAGAAGAAGAAGAAGAAGAAGAACTACTTAAGGAAAAAGAAACAAAACGAAAACCAAACTGGAGTCTTAGCTTAGCTCTTGGGATGTGGGGTGTTTAGGACAATTTTCCTTTTTGCCCAGAGGAATTACCCACTGGGGACCACTTGTTCAGAGATGGAAGTAGCAAGAGTGAGGGCAAATGTGCCTGGGGATGAGAGAGGGGGCTGTAAATACGTCCTCTTCTCCAATGTCCAAGCTTGTGTGCACTTGGGGTGGAGGGAAGTGGTTTGATTTTGTTTATCTGAAGGCTTAAGACCTCCTGCGAGGGGCAACTCAGTCATCCCTGCTGTCTTCTCTGAAATAAGAGCTTCTAACATCAGCATCTCTAGCAGGGAGTAGTTCAGAATTCTACACAAGCGCCTTGCTTGTGGGGCTCCTACCCAAGTGGGTCCATTAACCAAGTTCACCTTTCATGAAGATGTAGTGTGGGGAAGTCAAGTCCATTGACCTGTGCTTACCTGCAGACACTCAGCCTAGCATAGAGGTAAGAGATATCTCTGTCTCCATGCTTGATTGATGAATAAATGCATGTAGCTACATTTTTCTACATAATGTTTCAGGGTACATGTTCCACTCACACTTCTTTTTTGTAATTATTAATGAATTACCATGAGATACAGATACAGACTTACAAACTTTCATGCTTACGTCTCAGTCATACAACAATCGAGCACCCATCCCTCCACCAGTGCCAATTCACCACAACCAATATTCTCAATATCTCTCCCCCCACCCCCCCAACCCCCACCACTGCCTCTGTGGCAGGCGCATTCCCTTGTGCTCTCTCTCCTTTTGGGTGTTGTGGTTTGCAATCTAGGTATTAAGTGGCCATCATGTTTGGTCTGTGGTTTATTTTCAGCACACATCTCCCATTCCAAGCAGGCCCTCCAAGCATCCTTTACTTGGTGGTCCCTTTTCTAGCTGAACTGCCTTTCCCTCCAGCATGTGAGGCCAGCTTCTGTGAGGACCCTGGAGCAATCCTCCTGGTCCTTATCTCTACTATCCTTGGATGCTAGTCTCCCATTCTGTTACCTTATATTCCACAAATGTTCACTCACACTTCTGATGACAACTCATCTCCCTTATCATTTTAAAGTCATAATATCAATACTAGAAATTAGGTGGCAATAGGTTAAAGGATGGTCCTAAGCAAGGGTAATTGTGTCCATCAGGGATATGAGCTTTGCCTTGGGTTTTGCTCTGGGTTTTGCAGTGAGAAGCAGTGGGTGGAGCTCTAGGATGCTATAGACATCTAAGAATGTACAGGACAAAGGCCACCACACAAAAGAAATTGGCACAGAACGCCAGCACCGATAGATTTAAAAGCAGTGTAAATAAAGGAAGTGCTGCTAAAATATTTGTCTTTTTGCTTATTTAAACAAATTTTTAAAACAAGATTTTCTTTTCTAAAGTTAAAATGATGGGGGCTGGAGAGATAGTACAGAGGGCAGGGCGTTTGCTTTATGCGCAACAGACCTGGATTCAATCCCCAGCATCCCATATGATCACCCCAAGCACTGCCAAGAGGAATTCCTGAGTGAAGAGTCAGGAGTAACCCCTGAGCATCACTGGGTGTGGTCCAAAAACCAAAAAAATAAATAAAATAAAATAATGAAGTATCCCTTTACACTCAGTTTAAAATTTCCAACACTATCTGACTGACGGCTCTTAAAAGATTTCCTATGTTGATGGGTGTGAAAAAAGAAATTCTTTTTGTTACCATTGCTCTCATTTTCAAAAATTTCTGGACCGGAGAGGTAGTCCAGGGGTTAAGACACTTGCCTAGCATGAAAATGAGTCCTAGTTCGATCCCAAGCTCTTGTAGTAGTGATCCCTGAGCACAGAGACAGAAGTAAGCTGTAAACACTGGCAGGTGTGGCACAAAGACAAAAAAAAAGTCTTAATATAGTTCCTAGAATCTTGCCTATTTGTGATTTACTCATATATTATTTATCCTAATTTTTAAAAGAAAAGTCAGTTTTATAATTTTTTTCAAATTTGTTTTATCAGTGAATTTTATTTATAAATTTTTATTATAAAATGCTTTTACGTATATTAAATGCATTTTCTTACATCTGAATCTTGCCTTATAGAAGGTGTTTTTGACCTCCTATAAATTGCACATGTTGTTTGCTGGATGTCCATCTGAAACATATTTGTTCTGTATGCACTAAGAATGTAATCTTTGTGAGTTGTTGAAAATATCTGAGGGAAAAAGAACACTTTACATTATATAATAATTTGTGATTATTTCTATTTAACCTTGTAACCTTTCCTTACCAAATTGACAAACTCACGTAATGAATATATAAGTATATAGAAGCATCCAATTTCTGATTACTTAAATAGTACCTGGAGCATACCTTATTGGCAAGCTATTTGAGGTGGTCACTATTATATTATTTTACATATATTGGAAATTTAGTAACTGACTCAATAATATCAGAAAATAATTGCAATTATACTGTTTTATTGAGTGCATGATTTTTCCATTCAAACCGGTGGAGGGATGGATACTCGATCATTGCATGACTGAAATGTAAGCATGCAAGTTTGTAAGTCTGTAACTGTACCTCACCAGAATTAATTAAAAAAATTAAAAATAAATAAATAAATATTTTTAAAAAACCAAATTGGCTTAGGGACTTTGCTCTACCACTATGCACTTGAATCAGTTTATATTAGCCCCTCATTATTTTCCTTTAATGACTTTTTTGCTTTGTTCCTCCATCTGCCATATGATCATCAATTATGCATCTACTTTAAGAGAAAGACACTTAAGTCTGAGCTGTCCTCACTCTCACATTGAGATGGCAGGTGACAGTCTCCACTGAAATAATACATGATGCATCTCTCTGACAAAATAACTAGAGCCGATAATTCCATCAAAACTTATAGAAGAGTCAAAATGCAGGAACAGAGTGCTAATTGGTGTGGCAAAGAACAGATTCGAAAAAAAAGTCCAAGATAATGAAGAAGAGATGCCACTTAGGAATGGGAAGAAGAGGCTGTCTCCTCCCGATGGGATCATCCAACAACTAATTGGTCAATTAGCTATGGGATTAGGTTAGGGGAAATACAGCTTCTACACACTGCTGAAACCCCTACCTTTGACTGTGTTTAAGTCCTCTGACAAAGTATTGGTTGATCTCATTGCACTTGCATGTACGATATACAATGCCTTTGGCAATCATAATATTTCATCATTGTTTTGTAAAAGTTTGATTTTGTTTTCTGGTTGTATTGGGAGGCCATCAGGGGACTGTTATCAGGCATGGCATGCTGCCAGAACCAAGAAAGTCTACTTTCTCATGGTCTCTAAGAAACCAAATGAGCTTATTAGTACCTTATTTTTTTCTCATTTAATTCTTTTATATCTCCACATTACATTAAAAAATTTTATTATAATTGTATATTTGTATTATAATTGTATTATAATTGTATAAAGTAGTTCACAATATTTGATTACATTTAATATTCAAACACCAATCCCACCACCATGACATCTTCTCACCACCATATTTTGGATATTTCCATTCCCAACCCCAACCCCTGGCCCAAAGTGGAACCGAAATAATTTATCTTGTATTGTTTGTTATGAATAAATCACTGAAAATGCTCAAAAAAACTTTCCTTAGAGGAAAGAGTGTGAAGATTGTTGTATTTCATCCAGGAGCCATTCTATTACAACTAATATGTTGTTTTCACATCACATTTTTTTGAAAAGAATTACCAATGTTTGTTTTAATAAGCAGCGTTCTTTCAGCCTTATATGGTGACCAAAGTTTATACTTCTGTAAAGGCTCAAGAATTAAAATTCAAGGGCTTACATGGTGGTAGCAGGTAGGGCGTTTGCCTTGTGTGCAGCCAACCCAGCTGAGCTGGGTTTGATTCCTCCGCCCCTCTTGGAGAGCCCGGCAAGCTACCTAGAGTATCTCACCTGCACCGCAAAGCCTGGCAAGCTACCCATGACATATTCGATATGCCAAACACAGTTACAGCAAGTCTCAAAGTGGAGACGTTACTGGGCCCGCTCCAGCAAATCGATGAACAATGTGAGGACAGTGACTGTCCACAGTGTGGACAATCACCTTGAAAACTGCGCTTCACTTTTATAATTTTACATCCAAATCACGCAATTTTCTCAAAGCCTTTTGTCATTCCCTTTGCCAGACATACCTGTGACCACATAATCCATCATCCTCCTTCTCTTTTTAAGGTCTCTATCAAAATGACATTTGTCTTCCCTAAAATATGTCTTACCTAAACATGAGTCATCTTACCAAAAGAACGTGAACCATGAGAAAATATTATTTTTTTCAAAAAACATTTTCTGATTGTAAAAAAATAAATGGGAGCTTTGCCAACATACAAATAACTCATTTTTTATTTCTAAAAGGCTTTTTTAATGAGATACTGGGATTTACAAAGGTATTCATAATCAAGTTTCAGATAGACAATCTTCCAACACTAATTCCATCACCAGTATAAGAGCTCATTCCTGGATGGACTCAGGGACAATATGGGGTGCTAAGGATCGAACACATGTTAACCGCATGCCAGGCCAAGTGCCCTAACCATTGGATTATTTCTCCAGCTCCTCAACTACTCATCTCAATGTTACTTCTATTTTCCTTAGAAGTCATCTCCACAACATGAAACTAGGAAACGATTCCCAAACTTCAGAATTTATTCTTCTTGGATTCTCACAAGAGCCAGAGTTGCAGCTTCTCATATTTGTGTTTTTCCTCTCCATGTACTTGCTCACTGTCCTCGGGAACCTGCTCATCATCCTGGCCGTCTTCTCAGACCCCCACCTCCACACCCCCATGTACTTCTTCCTCTCCAACCTCTCCTTTGTAGACATTGGTTTTACTTCTACCACCGTTCCAAAGATGCTGGTGAACATCCAAATGCAGAGTAGACTTATAACCTATGATGACTGCATCACACAGATGTACTTTTTTCTAGTCTTTGGAGAGCTGGACATCTTTCTCCTGACGGTGATGGCCTATGACCGCTTCGTGGCCATCTGCCACCCTCTGCACTACACGGTCATCATGAATCCACGGCTCTGTGGCCTGCTGGTTCTGGGGTCCTGGACCCTGAGTATCCTTCATTCCTTACTGGAAAGCTTAATGGTGTATCAACTTTCCTTCTGTACAGATGTGACAATCCCCCACTTCTTTTGTGAACTTGATCAAATGGTCCAACTTGCCTGTTCTGACACTTTTCTTACGAATGTGGTGATGTATATTTCGGTTGTCTTGGTAGGTGGCATCTGTCTCACTGGGATCCTTTACTCATACTCTAAGATTGTGTCCTGCATATGTGGGATGTCTTCAGCTCAGGGGAAGTATAAAGCCTTCTCCACATGTGCTTCTCACCTCTCCATGGTCTCCTTATTTTATTGCACTAGCATTGGGGTGTATCTAAGCTCTGCTGCCACCCACAGCGCACAGTCAACTTCAACAGCCTCAGTGATGTACACTGTGGTCACCCCCATGCTGAACCCCTTCATCTACAGCCTGAGGAACAAAGACATCAAGATGGCTTTGAAAACATTCTTTGTGAAGGACATGCAAAAATGACAATGGTCTCAAGCATGAGGAAGGGACTCTGAATGCTGAACTGTGTGCCTCAGAGTCAGACATTGTGGTTATTTCATTAAATTATGGGAAAAAAGCACATTCCTTGCATTTAGCCTTAAATGTCCATTTTTTTACCTCAGCTTTGTTATTTAATTTATGCAACACCACCATAAGCATTCTATCCTCATTACTGTACAACGATTGTCCTTTTCTTGTTTCCCTACTTTATTTTCAAGTACAGAGCAAAACTATTTGAATGTTTCTCATATCCTACATAAACAACATTGGTATCACCCAAGCAGTGTTCATCTGTAACTATCCCTCCCTACAATTATCATCCAACCAAGACTAACTAAGATTCACTGCATGAACTCGAGAATGTGCTGTTGGACCTTAATGCCAAGGATCACCTGTCACCTGGGTAAGGATCACCCTGTCACCTGGGCGTTGCTCAAAGCCTCTAAGCCTAAGCTAATCAGTGCTCAGGGGACCACCTGATGCCAACTGTGATTATATGATTATATGAAAGCCATGCGTCTTAACCCCTGTATCATCTGTTCAACTCCACTTCAAATCTATTTTATAGAAACTAACCTCAGCAGTGTTCTGGGGGATTGTGGGTGGGGGAGATCACTCCCAACCATACTCAGTGGGTACCAAAGTCGTATCCAAAGGGGTTCAAAAGGACATCAATGCTGGGACTCACACTCAGTGCTGTGTACACGTTAGGCATTTACTCTGCCACTTGAGTCACTGGTTCTACTTATGATTCTAGTTATGAGGAATTTCCATACTGTTTTCTGCAAGGCAGGTACCAGTTTACATTGCTATCCACCATGTCTGATGGCTTCCTTCTCTCCACATATCTCTGACACTTGTTATTTCTTGTCTTTTGGCTAATAGTTATTCAAAAAATGTGGTGGTATCTTTCACTAATGTCTTGTGTCTTGTTTGGAAAGGTGTTTATTTTAGTGCTTTGTTGCCATTTTACTGTGTAACGTTGTTGCTTCTGCAATTAGCTACTTGCTTTGCATAATTGGTCTCTCGATATTTCATTCAGGGCTGATTTAGTTGTGAAAATGATATCAGTTCTTGCTTGTCTGAGAACGTTTTTATCCTCCCTCCTGTCTCAATGACAGTTTTTCAGGGTAGTGGACTCTGGGTTGAAAGTTTTTGCAGTGAGTTATTTAAATATGTCATTCCACTATTTTCATTCCTATACCATATCATATAAAATATCTGTTGTGACTTTTTTCTCTTTTTTTGGAAGTCCTACTTTTATTAATTACTTCTCTTGTTATTTGACTCTAATATAAAACAGATTAATGTAAAAAATAACACACCTATGGTTTTTAAGGTATTTTATGATTTTAAATTTTATATCTAAATCTTTAACTGATTCTGAATTAGCATTTGTGTGTGAACTTTTAAAGTCTTACTACCTGCCTGGCTGTCCAGTTTTTCAACACCACTTATTTAATTATTTACTTATTTTGACTCACACCTGGTAATTCTCAGGGACCACACCTTGGTCAGTGCTTAGGAGTTGCTCCTGGAAGTCTTTGGGGGTAGCCCTAAGGCAAAGCATATGGTCTAGTCCTTTGTGCTATCTCCCTAGCGCAAACATCTTTGAGTGAAAGAGAGCCTGAGCTTAGGATTCTCTTTTTACTGGGATCAGAGTATTGTACATTCTTCCTTTATCGGTTCAATTAAAACATAAGGGAAAGATGTAAAACATAGCAGAGAGAGCAAAAAAGGAGAGGGGGAAAAAACCCTAAGTGGACTGTAGGTAGATGGTGCAGGGATAAGATGCTTGCCCTGCACAAAGTGACCCCAGTTCAATCCATAGAATAGCATAGGGTTCCCTGAGCACTTCCAGGAGTAAGCATAGAGTCAATATTTAGCCTTGAGCACTTCCAAGTATGACCCAACACTATCCCACTTTTTTTTAAAAAAAAAAAACACAAGTTGTACTCACATGGATTATCAAAATTATTTGGGATTTGTAAAGAAAGAGACTGCTTGCATCTTTTTTTTTGAAAGTCGTGACTCATTTATTGAATGAATACTATATGCAGGAATACCAATTAAAGAAGAAACTAATACTACAAACTACAATTTTGAAAACAAAAGCCAATAGGAACAAAAGATATATATATAACAAGAGAGGAATGTTTGAATTTTTTTGACCCACAATGCAAGCCTTAGCTTTACAATTAACCTAAATGTCTGTTAGAACAAAATGGTACATGTTGGTCTAAATTTAGTGCTTTGTAAGAAAGCAACAACATTCTAAAACACTTTTTGTTTGCTTTGCGATACTTAAGATTCACACATTGGTTCAAGCACATAGATTCTGATACAACAGTAGATCTACATACCTAGTTATTTTCTTTAATATCTTGAGTAGCATGTACTCCTGAGCAAGTACTAAGTGAAATTCTAAAATTGCTGATACTGGAAACAAAATTATTTTAGTTGTGGGTTTTAAATAGATTGAGATGAAAGTAAAATTTCATTACAAAGATTACACTGTTTAATATCAATAACAAAACAAAACAAAATAAAAATGGAGAGGAAAAAGATGGGGGAGGAAAAAGAAGGGAAGAAAGAAAAGAGACTTCAAAATTTCAAGCTAAAATATGTGTAAAAGACAATGATGGGTATTTGATCATTGTAATAATTGAAACTCAAGCACAAAAATTTGTAAGTCTACAACTGTACCGCATGGTGTCTCACTAATAAAAATTAAAAAAATTAAAAAATAAAATAAAACAATTTCAATACAAAAAAGAAGACAGTGATGCGAGTATTTCAATTTCAAAAAAATTGAAATAATGTAAATGTTATATACTTATCAAATAATGTCATGCTTATTACAACTACAATTAAAGACTGAAGAGATGAACAGTAAATATTTATACCACTATGTAAAATGTACCTCCCTATCCCTAACCCCAGGAACAAAGAGCTCTTATTAAAACATAGAAACTCAAGTCTATCTTTCTACTCTAAAGAACATTTCTTACTAACATTTCTGGTAATGCGATAAATGCTCCAGAATAATCTTCAGTATACGCTTACAAAGATTACACTGTTTAATATCAATAACAAAACAAAACAAAGCAAAAATGTAGAGGAAAAAGAGGGGGAAGGAAAAAGAAGGTTAGAAAAAAAGAGACTTCAAAATTTCAAGCTAAAATATGTGTAAAAGACAGTGATGGGAGTATTTTTTTGAAATGATGTAAATGTTATATACTTATCAAATAATGTCATGCTTATTACAACTACAGTTAAGGACTGAAGAGATGAACAGCAAACACACCACTGAGGTCCATTTTTCTAAATATTCATACCACAATGTAATAACTACCTGGAAGATGACAATGCTACTTGGGAACAGAAATACTGTACAATTTTTGCATTGTAAGGCACTTTTACTCAGCATCATGATGAAAACATAAAAAGACAATCAAAATCTTATAAGTGTACAACTAAAAGTGATATTGCGTGGAATTTTAATTTATACATCCTTTGGTGTTCAGTCAATCACACCACAGTGAGAAAAGTAGGTAGCCAGCCACTTACCTAGCCAACCAAAAGGTAAAGTGCTATTATGGGTTGCAGAAACTCATATAAGAAAAAAGTATACAATTGTTTACATGTGAAGTTCTGAAACAGTGAGTACTTGAATTCCTCAACATGCGACATGCTTACTGACTGACCATTACTACTTCTGCACCTTCTATTTTCCCCGAAAATGTCATTACAGTAGTTGTCAAAAAAGGAAGGTGCTCTCTTGTTCCATGGGTAAGTCTTATAACACACAATGTAAAAATGATGAAGAAGGGGGTATGGTGCCGCCGGCAGGTCAATCTGTACCTGTGAGGTGAGTGCATCAGCAGCCTGATGGCAATGTCAGAATTTCAGGTACCCCAAAATTGCTGCTGTGCCTTTGGCCAGACCCCAAAAACTTGGGGCAAAGTTTACCAAGAAAGTAAACGGCCAAGGCATGGCCTCTCTAGTTCCTGATTGAACTGTTTAATGGCCATGATCCCAGAGTCTCAGAAACGAATCTCAGAACCCAAAGGCTCTTGGCAGAAATGCGTCCTGTTCCTGCAGTAGGTAACTGACGCTGGGCCACTCCAGGTGGGAATAGGTTTTGTGCCTTGGCCTGTTCCCCCTGGAGGCCTGGTTACCGCCATCCTCCAGAGGCCACCGGACAGTCAGGGTTGGGCCTGCAGTGACGAGACACATGGGGCCTCACCACACGGGGTGGAGCCAACTCTTTCTCCCTATACCAACGAGACCCTGAGTCGCCGCCTACAAAAGCCTTCTCTGGCTCCTGAGCAAGCTGATTAATAGCCATGATACCGGAGACTCAGAAATAAATCTTGAAATCCAGCGGCTTTTGGCTGAAATGCATCTGGACTGCATACAAGGTGGCCGCCGGCTCAGAGCTTATTGGACAGCCAGGTATGAGCCAGCGGTGACGGGGCAACTGCAGTCTCATGAAAAGGAGGGCAGTACCGGCTTGTCCTTCACGTCCTACCGAGGTCACGAGTTGCTCCCCACAAGCGGCTCTCTGGCATGACCATGGCTCCAGAGGCAAAAGGACTTAATCCAGAACCCGGCTACTTGCAGCAGAAAAGTAAATGGACCATGCATTAAACTACGGTGCCATGCCTCCCCAGGAGGAAAAGGGTGTTGTTCCCTTCCTCCTTTTTCCCCCCTGGCAGCAAGGTGGCCGCCGCCTCAGAGCTTGTAGGAAAGCTAGGTATGAGCCGATGATGACGGGGCAACTGCAGTCTCATGGGAAGGGAGGCGACACCAGCACGTCGTTCATGCCCTACCGAGGTCACAAGTTACCCCCCACGAGCGGCTCTCCGGCACAACCGTAACACCAGACACACAGAAACCAATCTCGTAATTACCTGGCTCTTTGCAGAAATCCAAAATCGTGGCTGCGTGACATTATATGATTCTCATAACCAGCTATA